ATGTATTCTGGGTAGAAACCAGAAGCGCGGAAATTTGTCACCGAGTCACCGACAAAGAGGGTGCCTCGAGCTTGTACACCGTAGACGTAAAATGGCAGGCTCAATATCCGGGCGGGAGAAAGGGCACCATGGGGTTTCGTCGTCGTGCATCGAAGCCGAAAGGGGCATCACAATTTACGAGTGGCGGTCGCCATGACAGGCACACGAGGTTTTGATACACCAAGTCCTCGCCAATTTCACGCCCCGTCAGTTCTTCCTTAAAGCCAAACTGACCATATTGGGCTATAGAGGGTAAGACACCCACGAACTAGAGGCTATCCGAGGCATTGTGACGTTTCGATGTTTGCCCCTTCTGACGTTGAGATTGCAACGCAAAGACTGAATCTTCCGATGCGACCATGTTTCTTTTGTTTTTCCGCTGACTCATGTGCGCAGTCCATGTCGTTGGTTTCCTTAAAACCAAATTGTTTGAAATAGCCCTTAAATTGGGGTGAATTTAAAATGAATACACAGGGGGTTGAAATTGGCCCTAGTGAAGTTGGCGAGGACTTGGTGTAACATGTCTAGATTCACCCGCAGCGTTACAAAGAATTGCGCCGAAGGGGAACCACGGAAAGATGTTTCGGGAGTTTAGACGTAACTCGACAATGAACACATGACTCAACTCGACATATCGCTCTAGAGGCGTATTCGTGCTTTTGAATTTTAACATTTTCAGAAGTCAGGTGTCGATACGAAATCTGTAACCGCAATCGTAAGGTGTAAATGGTTCGGTCTGGCCATGCAGCGTATGACAATTTTCAAACAGGTGACGTCTGATGAACGAACTTCTTCGTGTAACGTCCATCTGATACAAAATTCCTCACGGAAATTGAACGCGCGCCATAGGACCCGCCGCTGTTCAATAATAGAGATATCATTTTCTTTAGCGCCTCCTTTACTGCACCCAGCACAGGTCGAGCAGTGGTGTTTGAGGAGGTGAAGCATCCAGCGAAGGTTGGTTGGGACTCGGGGGAGGGGAGAGGGAGGGAACCAACCAGCCGAGCCATACCAGCGGGCACGGGAGGGGAACCGACGAACCAAACCAATGGGGGGAGGGAAGGGAGCAGTAGGGGCTGATGTCAGCGCACCAGCGGGAGGAGCACGCCTGGAGGGGCAATCGCGTGGCAGCGAAGCGGGTACAGCACACGAGGAGCGTGCCGCGGGTGGGATGAATGTCACTGTGGAACAGTATTTTCCCCCAGCCCCCCAACCTCCCCCCTTTACTGTGTGAGCAGGAAAAGGGTAAGGTAGGGGGGAGGCGCGGAACATGCTTTGCATCCCTGGGAATCTTGGGAACTCAGCAGAGTCACCACTGCTGCTGCTGCTTTGTGGAGATCTATTTTCAGCGTGCGAGCAACAACGACGGCATGCCAGCTCAAACGGACAACGAAATGCCAACGAACACACACCATTTCGATGCCTTACCTCAGGCCTCTGACCAGCGCTGCTTGCATTGTCTCCTAGAATCTACTCCATCGCCGCACCCACCTTTGCCAGCCTAGTTGAAGATGAAGTTGCATCGACGGCGGTACGGTACCCCCCCACGGGTGGCCTCTTGGCTGTGAGAACTGGATGGAGCCAAGGAGCTAGGACAAATGAGCGGACGCTAGATTACCGCATATGCACGCATCGTTGTTCAGAAACCTTCCGCTCTTCATGTCCCATCGTGTCCGTCTGGAAGAAGGCCCATCGAAAAACACGGTTCTTTGCATTCAGTTTTGTAGCCAGTACTTATTCGGTATAGATTAAGTTGAACACATACCGACTACATACGTGGTAGAGGTTTCAGTGCATGATAGTCCATCCGCCATGGCTCTACCGACGTCAGAGCTCTTTAATCGTTACTTTTTCAGCGACATCCTCGGAGAGGGCCAGTCTGGCCGCATTTGGCGCTGTCAGGATAGAATAACGGGGGAAACCCTTGCGTGCAAGCAGGTCCGTAAACGCGGAATGTCACACGTGGAGCTCGCTGATTTGCGGAGAGAAGTTCAGTCGATGCTGATTCTCCGGGGTCACCCGAACGTGCTGTGCCTGCGTGGACTTTACGAAGACGACAAAGCGGTCTACATGATAACGGAGCTGTGTGCGGGCGGCGACCTGTTCGCGCTTATAGCGGAGCACGAGGGGCTGGAGGAGTCCGTCGCGGCGCGGCTGTTCGTACAGTTAGCGAGGGCTGTGCGGTGGTGTCACATTAACCGCGTCGTGCATCGGGACATTAAGCCTGAAAACATTCTTATCGTTCCGCCGTCACCGGCGGTATCTCCCAACTCCGCCGCTCCCGCAAAGCGTGGCGGAAAGTCCGACAACGGCTCGTCGTCCCCCTCTTCGTCCCCCGCTTCCCTCGCTTCTCCTGCCTCCGCTGACGGCGACGATACAGAAAAATCCCCACGCTTGGAAGATTTGCAACTCCGACTCGCAGACTTCGGGCTGGCGTTTCCGTTACAACCGGGTTCGGCTATTATCGGAGCAGCGGGGAGTGCGCCGTACGAAGCGCCCGAGGTTCTGGCGCACGAGCCTTATAACTACTGCGCGGATATCTGGTCGCTCGGCGTGTTGCTTTACGCGATGCTCTCTGCGAACTGGCCGGCTTTTCCCAACGACAGTCGCAAACTGCTGCCGTCAGATCTGCTACCGAAACCGTGGCCGTCGATTTCTTTCGAAGCCAAGGATTTGATCCGTCGGATGTTAACGGCAGATCCGATGGAGAGGATTGATATTATCGGCGTGTTGGAGCATCCATGGTTGAAGAAGCAGCTCGCTCCGCCTCGGTTGGACGCTCCGTCGCTTGCTCCGTCGCACACTCCGTCGTATGCACCGTCGCAAGCACAATCGCAGCGACCAAAAACGCGGCAGTTACGCCCGGCGACAGCCCAATGCGAAACCATGAAGCGCCGGGAGAATTCTACGAACGCTGTCGCCATGCCGCGAGCATTGAGTGTCGTTGTCGCAACAGAAGCTGCGACAGAATCGCCAAAGAGCGAACCTGCTTCTCCAACCACCAGCCCCGGCGACCGCCAGTACAACGGCCAAACCCTGAACTCGAATGCCCCTGACGGTCGTCCACAATCAGCGGCTGGACATCTGGCTAAGATTCCGCGATCGCAGAGCAATGTGCTGCCGTCGTCAGCACCGTGCGACGCGCAAGCGACTGTCATGAGGACACCTGGACGATCTAGGCAAACCAGAAGATCCCGGCTTCAGGGACATTCCCCGCTAATTACGGGTTCTCATTTATTGTCAACAATCTGTGGTGACAACAGCGAAAATAAGCACGGAAGGGGTGCGGACTGTGGTGTACCCATCTCCATAGCAAGTCGCGTGAACAGGTCTTCGCTTGTCGAGGATACTGCCGGTGAATGTGACGGTGACGGAGCCGACGGAGATAACGGGGCCGACGGAGATGACGGGGTGGATGAGGAAAGCAAAACCTCCAACGACCAGCCTGATAGTGAGGGTGACTTCCCCTCCCCATCTTCGCTGCCCTCTAAAGCTTCTGATGATGCATCAAACTCAACAGAGTTGCCCGCATCTTCTGGGAGAGGGTGGTGTGAGGCTTTTGAACATGAAGACAAGGAGGGGGAGGGATTGTGCTCTAGTATTCTTTCATGCCGTATCTTGCCTGGAAGGAGATCCAGGCTCAAGAGCCTCCAAGACGCTTCTTTACCTGCTGCCCTGTCATTATCATCCTGCTCTTCCGTTTCGTCTGCATCAGACCTTTAAGTCTTCATTCCAAGGAAACTGGCATTCTAAGATGGAAGGTAGAATAATAGGTGATTAAGCCATGTATGTCATAGGTTTATCTAGTGTATTTAGCCAATATAATATCAATTGGATGAAGAGATATTTGGTGGAAGTTATTGAAGTTTAAGTAACGCACTGTAACAATAACTTCCAACGATGTACTAGCGTATTGTTCATGTAAGGAATTTTCCGGATTCCTTACTGGGTCACACTATACGCGTACAACCCCGGTTTTCGGAAAACCAGGCTCGGTCCGCCGAACTCGCCTTCCGAGCCACCACCGCGTCGCCTTCGGGTTTACCAACCCCGAACCTGCACCCAACCATCTCGCGAACCCGCGACCTAGGCCTAGCTAGCATTGCTATTATAGTCCTAGGCTTGTTTTCTCAGACGTTGTAATCACTTCCGCATTATTGAGTTCTGCGCACTCTTCCTTTCACAACTCATAACAGTTCACCTCAGCTCGTTTACCGTGACTTCCCCCTTGGCTCATTTTTTCTTGCCACTCACGCTCCTCCCCCCCCCTCCTTCGCTAGAGTCTATTCTTTCACCGCACAACTTATCGTCACTACCTTGGCGACGAGTTCCTATGTTTACTTCGCATGCCCTAAGCGGATGGGTAAGGAAAGTGAACGATTCCTCTCGAAGTGACTAAGAGTAGCTTGTAGTTCCGAGACTTACAACAACCATCTTTGCCGCAAACATGGCATTGACCTACTAATTCATGAAGTGTGTGGTTTGAGAACCGTAAGATACAAATGGATCGTACGGCTGAAGCCGGTCACGACGAGATCTGGCCACGTGTCATCTGCAAGACATGCAAGAAGCTTCGTCGAATCCCTCCCGAGGAATTCCAAAAACTCTCAGATTCCAAAACTGTGGATTGGTTCTGCCACCTGGCAGAGCCCTATAGGCCAGGAGCCCGGTGCTTAGATCCGGAGGAGAAAAAAACCGAGGCGGAGAAGACAAAGCCGTTCGAACCGGACGGTTTCTGGTGGATGTCGAAATTTCGAGGGGATATTTTCTACATAACCCCGGATAAGAAGAAGTTTTATTCTCCTAGCCAGTTAACCGCGTACCTGGAGAGCTACAATCGGGACCGCCGAAATCCCCTCACTCCCGAGGATTTTTGTATAAGCAAGCCCAAGTGGAGAGAGGTGCACGGATGCGCGGAGGTGGGGGGAGTGAAGCGTCCCGGAGCTGTCTCTACCAGACCTATGCTAGGTTCGGGAAAGGCGGTGTCTGCTGTCGCTGCAGGCGTTGCGGGTGGTTCCAGCGGCGGGGGTGGGTTCTCTGCGGTTGCTGCTAAGGCTGTGCCGTTGGGTCGGTCCGGCTCGTATAAACTGACGGCTCTGGCGATCGGAGCAGGAAGCAAGGGGGGATTGGGCTTGGGAGCCGGGGGCGGTGAGAGAGGCAAGGACGGCGGGGAGAGGGCGAGAGCAGGAGAGGAACGCGGGAAAGAAGGGGGGGCAGGAGCAGGGGGAGCAGCAAAATCTGCAGGGGTAGCAGGAGCAGCAGGGTTTGGAGGGAGGAAAGACGGGGGAACGGAGGGCTCTGGCAAAGGGGGTGAGAGGAAGGGAGAGGAGGCGAGAAAAGGCACAGGAGGAGGAGGAGGAGGTGGGTTAGGAGGAGGCGGTGAAGGGGGCGGAGGAGCGCGCGAGAGGGAGGGCGGAGAAAGGGAGGACGGGGACAGAGAGGAGGGTGCCAGGCGTAGGTTGGGTCAGTCGGAACTGTTTAAGAACCCTATTGCTCACCTTGATGATGATGATGAGGATGCTGCAGTGCGTGTTCCTGACGCTGTCACTGATTTCCGCCTAGAAACTGCCGCTGGAGAGCTTTATTCCTTTTATAGGCTGCCTCTTTATAAGAAATGGAGCTCTTCTTTGTTAAAGGAGTCGGTGTATCTGCGTGGGAAGGATGCGAATGGGGGAGCACCAGTTTTTGTTGATGCGGTGGCTTGGCGGGTAGTGGTGAAGGTAGATTTGGTGAAGGTTCAGGTGCAGGCTCGGCATGGGGAGAAATGGGTTGAAGTTCGGAAGCCGAGCCTGGGTTATGCGTCAGGGAGGTTGGGTTCGGAGATAGGGTGGGCGCAGTGCTGCGTGCGTTTCCATCCTGATTGGTCTGAAGGTGAGGTGAAACAGTTTTTGCGGTCACACAACGTCGATCTGGAGCGGCTTGTAAAGTGGATGGATTTGCTGGGAGATTTTATTCAGGATGACGTGGCTCTGAAAAGATCTAGTCTTTGGAAGTTTCTCGAGAAGGAGAGGTGGGGGAGTGGGAAAGAGCGAGGAGTGGGGAGTGAGAGGGAGAGAGACAAGGAAAGGATTAAGGGCAGGGAAGCCGAGAAAGGGTTGAAGGACAAGGAGAGGGACAAGGGGAAGGAGAAGGAGAAGGAGAAGGGGAAGGAGAAGGAGGGAGAAAGTGAGCGAGGTAGCGAAAGGGCTCGAGTGCGGGATAAGATCTTGGAAGACATAGGGTATCCGATGAGCAGAGCAGGATTGGATAGAGCAGGATCGTATAAGTCAGGAGGATTGATGAGAAAGAAGAAGCGAGTAGCGAGGTTTTTGGAGGAGGAAGAGGAGGATGAGGAGGAGAAGGATCGGAGGTTCATTGCTTCGGATGATGAGGATGAGATGGATGTGGGTGGGAGCAGAAGCGGAGGAAGGGGAGGAGACGCGCGGTACAGATCGTGGAAGGAAGGAGGAGAGGAAGGTGCCGGGGAAGGTTCGGAGGAAGGTGCGGAGGAGGGGTTGTACGAAGGGGATGAGGAAGAGGAGGAGGATGAGCAAGTGGCAGGGTGGGACAGCGTGTGTTATATCTGTGATGATGGTGGCGACTTGGTGTGCTGTGACGGCCCGTGTATGCGCTCTTTCCATGTAGAGCCAGATGATGAGGAGGAGAAGCGGAGGGACAAGTTCCACTGCCCGACCATTGGGTTGACAGATAGTGAGGTGCATGCGAAGGAGACCTGGCTGTGCCCGAATTGCGAGGCAAAGCAGCATGTGTGCTTTATTTGCCACCAGCTCGGGCGATCGGAGCCGGTTTTGGGGGGGAATGCGGGGGCGGATGGTGGGGGGGAGGGCGAGGAGCAGGGGCAGCAGCAGGGGCAGCAGGTGCTGCAGGAGCAGGAGGTGTTTATGTGTGACGTGGCGCTCTGTGGGCATTTCTACCACCCGACATGTGTCGCCTCGTGGTTGGCTGATTCGAAGAGGCTGCCCCAGGGCAGCGAGGAGCGAATCAAGGAGCTGGAAAGTGTGGCTGGGAACATTCGGGCAGGGTCTGGAATGTTTTTCTGCCCGCTGCACACATGTGCCAAGTGCCAGTTGGGGGAGGGAGATTTAGAATCTTTCAAGCTTGTTCCATGCCGCCGCTGCCCGAAATCTTTCCATGTGAAATGCCTCCCACCTGACCTGAGACTGGATGGGAATGACCCTAGCAATCCGCAGAGGGTTTGGGGTGTTGGGGATGGGTTTGCCGAAAGTCTTATGTACTGTACTAGGCATTCTCTCGATCCTTTTCTTGGTACGGCTGCCCGCGGGCACCATAAATTTCCGGACGTGAGGAGGACTAGGGGGCCTAGGAAGACCAGGTGGTTTGAGGATCTGGAGGAGGGAGAGGAAGAGGAGGGGAGGGTATTGGGGGAGGAGGAGCGGAGAGCTGGAAGGAGGGTGAAGAGGAGGAGAATGATTGTGGATGATGAGGGGGAAGAGGAGGCTGCAGAGGAGGAGGAAGAGGAGGAGATGGAGATGGAAGGATTTGGGTTGAGTGAGCAGGGTGCAGCAGGTGCATCCGCGTCTGCTAGAGCTGCTGCTGCCGCTGCTGCTGAATCATCCCGGTCAGCACTGGAGAAAGAACAAGCAGCAGCAGCAGGAGCAGCGGCAGGAGGAGCAGCAGGAGCGGTGGGGGAGAAGGGGAAGGGGAAGAAGAGGTCGTGGATTGAGAGGGAGAGGGAAGAGAGGGAGGCGGCTCTGAGGGCGATGGATAGCATAGGAGGCATTCAAAGCCGCAAGGGCGGGCTCACTCACAAGGAGATGGTGCAGAGCTGGAACAAAGGTATGAATTCGACTTGAGGGGTAGTTTTGGTTTTGATTAGTAGTTCCAGTATTGCTACGTGCTATGGAGAGGAACAAACGTACAAATTCGACTGGACCAAAGGTAACTACAATGTTGTTACTATGTGTGAGGGAGGGCAGTGGAGGGATTCAGAGCGGCAAAGGGGGGCTCAATCACAAGGAGATGGCTCAGAGTTGGAACAAAGGTATGGTGAATCTGAGTGTAGGCACTTTGGAAACATTTCTCCAAGTGTCAGCAACCCTGTGTGTGATTCAGAGCATGGGGGGGATTCAGAGATGCAAGAGGGGCTTTACGCACAAGGAGACGGCGCAGACCTGGAGCAGAGGCACATGGTGCACAAGGGGTACATGGCGCAGAGATATCTGAATCTCTGGAACATGTACTGGAAAGCAAAGGTATATGTTTCAGTACCCCTGTGACTTAGACGCGTCCAGGACTTGTGTCAGAGCTGCACACTATCTATCCACTCACCCACCCATCCATACCGCCCTTCACCACTCTCCTTCCTTCTCCCCCTTGCCCCCCTCCCTTCTCTCCACAGGCAAGGCCCCACGGCACATGTTTCAGTATCCCTGCGACCTGGACGTGTCCAGGGCTCGCCTGAGGGAGATATGTGAGGACGCAGTGAAGCTGGTCACAGCACAGACGGCCAAGGCCGGTTTTGCCTTGACTTGACTCAAGAACCTACCTCTCCCCCTTGCCTCTTTCCCATACCCTGCCATCACAGGCAAGGCCCCACGGCACATGTTTCAGTATCCCTGCGACCTGGACGCGTCCAGAGGTGCTTTGTAAACGGCACATTATGCACCCACTCACCCACCCACACCCCTTCACCCCCTTCCCTCACAGGCAAGGCCCCACGGCACATGTTCCAGTACCCCTGTGACCTGGACGCGTCCAGAGCTCGCCTGAGCAAGATTTTCGAGGATGCTGCAAAGCAGGTCACAGAACAGACGGCCAAGGCCGGCCTTGCCGTCCCACGCATGTACCAGCACTGCCACAACAACGCGGGCTCCGGCTCGGGCGGCAGCAACGCGGGCGGCAACAACAACAACAACAATAACAACCAGGGCGGCAACCCTCGGAAGATAGCACTGAGCAAGCTCGAGTCGATTCTCCACGCAGGGGAGAAGGCTCGGAATTTCCTAGCCAGGGAGTTGGAGCAAGCAGGAATGATATCGGCCCAAGCGCTGCAGCAGGCAATGAATCTCTGCCCGGAAAAGCAACTCCATCAGCTGAACGTAATCGGGGGTACACTGCGGGTATACCTCTCCCCGTACGTGCACGGGCAGCGGTACACGTCGTTCGGGCGGCATTTCACGATGCCTGAGAAGCTTAACGAGGTGGTGGAGCGGCTGGTGCCTTATATGGAGGATGGGGACGTGCTGGTGGATTTCTGCTGCGGGGCGAACCACTTCTCGCTGATTGCGAGGCATCGGTTAGAAGAGGCGGGGAAGCGGTCTGCGTTTGCCAACTTTGACATCATGCGGCCTCCCAATGAGTTCTGCTTCGTCAAGAGAGACTGGTTCTCTGTCAAGGTGGGTGCTGATGGGTGAAGCTGGGTGCTGGTTGGTGCTGGTGAACGAGCCTGCTTGCTGATCGCGAGGCGTTGGTTAGAGGAGGCTAGTTTTGAGGCGCCTCAAAACTGGAAGCGGTGTGGGTTTGCCAACTTTGACATCATGCGGCCGCCCAATGAGTTCTGCTTTGTGAAGCGCGACTGGTGTTAAGGTGGGTGCTGCTGGGTGGGCGGTGGTGGGTGTTGGTGGGTGCTGCTGGGTGGGCGGTGGTGGGTGTTGGTGGGTGCTGCTGGGTGGGCGGTGGTGGGTGTTGGTGGGTGCTGCTGGGTGGGCGGTGGTGGGTGTTGGTGGGTGCTGCTGGGTGGGCGGTGGTGAGTGTTGGTGGGTGCTGCTGGGTGGGCGGTGGTGGGTGTTGGTGGGTGCTGCTGGGTGGGCGGTGGTGGGTGTTGGTGGGTGCTGGTGGGTGGGCGGTGGTGAGTGTTGGTGGGTGCTGCTGGGTGGGCGGTGGTGGGTGCTGGTGGGTGCTGCTGGGTGGGCGGTGGTGGGTGTTGGTGGGTGCTGGTGGGTGGGCGGTGGTGAGTGTTGGTGGGTGTTGGTGAGCGTTGGCTGGAGAAGGCGGGAAAGCGGTGTGGGTTTGCCAACTTTGACTTCATGCGGCTGCCGAATGAGTTCTGATCTGTCAAACGCGACTGGTTCTCCATCAAGGTTGGTGCTGATGGGTTCTCGGGGGTGGTGATAGGTGCTGGTGGGTGATGGTGAGTGTTGGCTGGAGGAGGCGGGGAAACAGTGTGGGTTTGCGAATTTCGACATCATGTGTCCTCCCGATGAGTTCTGCTTCGTCAAAAGAGACTGGTTCTCTGTCAAGGTGGTTGCTGATGGGTGCTGTGGGGTGCTGCTGGGTGCTGCTGGGTGCTGCCGGGTGCAAATGATCAGTGGATGATTGGGTACTTCTTTGGCAATCTCGACTGGTTAGACCAAGGTGGGTGGTGCTGGTGGGGATTGGGAGGCATGGTGCGGGCGCGAGGCATGGCGTGTGGGGAAAGGCATGGCATGGTGGGAAGTTGGAAACATCTGGCACGGCACACTTGTTTGTTGGGATGAATGGATTTACTGGACGAGTGGAAGTAGGGGATGGATCGATTATGCTTGATTTAGTGCTTGCATGTTATTGGTAGGTCCAAACAGCAGTGCTGATAGGTACTACTGGTAGGTGCTGCTGATAGGTGCTGCTGATAAGTGATGTGGGTAATTTACCTTTGGTGGCACATGTCTCCAATGGTGGCACATGTCTCCAATGGTGGCACATGTCTCCAATGGTGGCTGCTCCCTCCAGCTGATAGCTTCTGTGCTGGTGGGGAATGTTCTTGTGGGGTATGTGCCGGTGGGATGCGTTTCGGTAGGTTGTAGCTCCGATAGGGTATGTGTGAGTGCTAGTGCAGGGAAAATGCCCGTTGCTGGTCACTGCTCTGCACTATTCAGCTTGCCACTTCATACAGTTGCAACTTTAGCCTTGTACAGTTGCTAGTTGTAATGCAGCGGAGCTAGTTGTGATGGAACGGAGCTAGTTGTAATGGAGCGGAGCTAATTGTAATGGAGCGGAGCTAGTTGTAATGCAGCAGAGCTGGTTGTGACGCAGCAGTGCTACTGGTAACACAGCGGAACCAATGGTAGTGTAGGAGAGGTAGTTGTAACCCAGTAGAGGTAGTTGTAACTCAGGAGAGGTAGTAGCAGGGCTCGTAGTTGTAACGGTGCAGTGCTAGTTGTAGCCCGGCCCGACAGAGGAAGATATAACGCAGTAGAGCCTTTTTTGGTTCAACTGGGCTAGTTCTAGCACTGGAGAGCTAGCTGTATTGCAACATAACGTGGTAAAGCAGTGACTTTTGAGTCGACTCAAAAGTCACCTATTTCTAGGACAGGGCAACATGACGTGGTAAAGCTAGCCGTGTTGCTGCAACCTTGTTCCTCTTTCCATACCCTGTCATCCTCCTTCCGTGGCACATCCTCCTAGTCGCCTCTCTTGCCTCCTCCATCCCATGCCTTTATGGTCGAGGGAACGTCATCTTGTCAGCAACAATCGATCGTCGTCGTCTTCTTGTCTTCTTGCTTAACTCTTCCAACTCATACCACCCCAACAAAGAAACGAGCTCCTTCCTTCTTCACAAACGCATGATCATTGGTCTCAACCCGGCTTTTCCCTTTTATCCTTTGCACATCCTCAACTTCTTCCCTTCTCCTCCCTTGCCTCCCACGCCAACAGAGGAACCAGCTCCCTCACAGCAATCGCCTTATCATGGGCCTCAACCCGCCCTTCGGCGTGCGAGGGCAACTCGCTTCGAATTTTTCGAGCCGTGCCGCCTCCGTCTTCCGACCCAAGCTCATCATTCTCATTGTCCCTCCGGAGACGCGACAGCTGGGCCCACTTGGGTATACGCTACTGTGGAGGGACGAGAAGATTTTTGAGAATCGCGCGTTCTACTTGCCAGGGTCGCATGATAAGGACAACAAGACGATGAACCAATGGAATAACATCCCCCCGCCTTTATACCTCTGGTGCCGCAATGACCTCGTCCACCAGTAAGTGAAGGAAAGTTTATGTTCTAGGGTTTAGGGTTCATAACGAGTGCTGTGAAAGGTTGACTAGCATTAGGGGCACCAAGAAGTCTTCTCTTCCGTGTCTGCCATGTTTGCCGATGTTTGCCCATGTCTGCTTGCCCATGCCTGTTTATGCATGTCCATGTTTGCCCATGTATGCCTGTTTGCCAGAATCACCATTTTTTTGTCTCCTTACTTGCTGTGCACTCCTCCTTATCCCATGTCTCTCCATTCCAATCTTCCTCTTTTCTCCCTTTCTTCCCCCACTCTTTTTAAGCATTGCCGTTCGGGCACACAAAGGACCCCTTTTCTTAGTCGACTAAATATTATATCCTATCTGAGTTGCCTTGATAACCATCTTGCCCTCTCTACCCCATTCTTTTCCCACCCTTTTAGCTACGGTCCTTTGGCTGACCGCCTCGGGCACACAAGGGGCCTCTTCTCTTCTCCACGGCCCATGCCTCCCTCGCTGCTCGCAGAGCTAAAAGTTGCAACCTCCATCTCCACCTCAGGTGCGTTGATTATACCCTTCACATCAGTCCAAATGTCATAGTGGAAATAGAAGCTCGAAGTGGTTCGATGTTGTGCTCAAGCTAAGCTGTCAATTTGCAAGAATATTGAACAAGGAGTGCGAGCGCCAAGAATGATGATGCGAGCAAGTGATGGTGGGGAGAGTCACTCTACAACGGTAGTAGACTACAGAGGAGGACTCGGGTTGTACGGGTGATCGTAGCGTTCTCTAAAACTTGTTTTAGTTTTTTTGCTCATAGGTGAAATTGGCAAGAGTTTCACTGACAAAAGTTGGAAGGTCATTGAACACAACGACATGACATAGTCGATATAGCAGAACACAATGCAACCTAGCAACCTAGCAAGTCGGCCTCCAGTGCAACACAAAGGCTGCTTGCCAATGCCGCAAGATGGCGCCATGTGCTAACGCAGCTGGAAGACGGCTTGCCAACACTGCAACATGGTGGCCTGCCAGCATCGCACTTGGGTGGCTCGCCAACGTTGCAGCAAAGTGGCTTGCGAGCGTTGCAATGGAAGGTGACCATGTGCGCACATGTGCGCACCTACCAGGTAGGTGCAAGTAGACGGTTGCGCGTGCATCGTCACGCACAATGCGCAGATGTTAGGTTATCGAGCACGTGATGCTCGACCCGCAGGTCGACTTCGTCAAATCTACTTTGGGCGAAATCCGCGCACCCTAGTAGAACTTCGCTGACCAGTTACCAGGTCGACCAAAAGTGGCCATTAAGTCGGCGCCGACTTTGACGGTCGATCGACGCCTGTAGGTCGGCGCCATGTCGACGATCGCCTTCGTCGACCGCTGCGGCCCTACGCTGTTTGCCGACTACGTCGGCGTGACCGTGATCGGCGTCGTCGAGGCCGGCTTTGCCGTGGTTGGGTTCGTTGTCGCCAGCTTCGCTGTGGTCGATCATCCAAGCGCGCCTACTTGCTCCTCCAAGTCGGTGTCGACCACGAAGCTTAGCCAACAACGAAGTCGGCTTCGCTCAAGCGAGGGCGGGGCCTCTGCTCGTCAACAGATGGTTGGGAGCAAATGATGGTCGAGACCTCATCCACCATTGGTCCTCAAATGGTTTATACAACCCGCTTTTATGTCTCGACCATCATTTGCTCCTCAATCACGTCAATACAACCCGCTTTTACTCCTGCAAAAGTTCCCATAGAGTCCGCTGCCCTCGTTTATTCATACTGCCTCGATCCCTTGCAAACGTCCAATTCCGCTTCTCAGGCCTTTGTTGCTAGGGTGTCCTTCCCCCTTTCTTCTACTGTTCATCCAAGCAAAAAGGCTCGACTTGGAATGCTCCACCCATATCAGATGGAGTTTAATTCCTCTTTTTTTCCAATCTGTAATTCCTCTCATTTTCTCAGGTCTCGACCCTGGTTTCATCGCTGCTGCTGAAGCGCAATCTCTTATACTTCTCGGACCTAACATCTGGGCTCGGGCTGGCTGTGGCTTGGCTGAGGGAAGAGCTTCGGGAGATGAAATTGGGGGTGCTGATGAAGGTGGTGGTGTTGTTGGTGGTGGTGATGTTGGTGGTGGTGGTGATGATGCTGCTGCTGGTGCTGCTGTTGGTAATGGGGATGGAGGGCAGCAGCTATATTTGGAAGAGAGGGAGAATGAAGGAGAGGAGATGGTTGGGCTGGATGTCCTGGGCATTGATAAGGGCGGAGGAGGAGGAGAGGGAGAGCTGGAGGGTAGAAAGATGGTGGGGACGAAACAGCTTCGGAGGGAGGAGGAGGATGTGAATGCGAAACGGATTGTGAAGGTGAAGGGGGAGTATGATTGTATGGGGGATAAAGGAGTGGGTGATAATGGCAGCGGTGGGATTGATGGGGCCGGGTTGGGAGGTGAGAGGTTGGGAGGAGAGAAGAGGTTGGCGGTTGGTGGGCTGAGTCCGAGAGTGAAGGTTGAGATAGGGAGTGAGAAGAGAGATGAGGAGGGAAGGAAGGAGAGCGAGAAAGAGAAGAAGGAGAGGGAGAGGAGGGAGAGGAAGGAGAAGGAAAAGGAGAGGGACAGGGAGAGGGAGGAGAGATTGAGGAGGAAGGAGAGGGAGAGGAAGAAAGAAAAGGAGAGGGGGAGGGAGAGGGAGAGTGAAGAGGAGAGGGAGAAGGAGAGTGAGATGCAGAAGGATAAAAAGGAGGTTGGTGGTAGGGAGGAAGGAGAGAAGGAAGCTTTGAGTGATAAGGGGGAGGAGAGAGCTTCCAGGGATACTAGGGATAAGGACGAGGCGAGGGTTGAGAGAGGAGGGGGGGAGGGGAGAGAGGGGAAAGAGGGGAAGGAGAGGGAGAGGGAGAGAGAGAGGGGGAAGGAGAGGGAGAAGGAGAAGGAGAGGGAGAGGGAGAGGGAGAGGGAGAAGGGGAGGGAGAGGGAGAAGGGGAGGGAGAAGGAGAGGGAGCGGGATAGGGAGAGGGAGAAGGAAAAGGCGAGACAGGTCGAATCTGCAGAGGTGGAGCGCAGGAGAGAGGTGAGGCGAGAGGAGGAGTGGAGGAGGGAGGAGGAGCAGAGGAGAAGGGAGGAGTGGAGGAGGGAGGAGGAGCAGTGGGCAGGGGGTGTGGGGAGGGCAGGTGGGGCCCGGAGGGGTGAGTTTGATGCAACGCAGAGCTGGGCAGAGCAGCAGGACCACAGGCGTGGGCGAGAAAGGGGTGGGCATGGAGGAGAGGGTGCACGGTACGAGAGAGAGAGGGGCTGGCAGGAGGAGGGAGGGCCTGTGCGGCAGGGTGTTGATGAGCGACCAGGCAGGCGCTATGGTGAGGGGAGTGATAGGGCCTGCCATTATGGTAGGGATCGTGGGCGAAGCACAGAAAGAGGGGCTGATGGTTGGCTGGAGAGGCGGGGTGATAGAGGTGTTGAGAGGGGTGGTGATGGGAGACAGTATGGTGTGAGGGAGCGCGAGCATCGGTACATGCGTGGGAGGGATGTGGATGGGGGAGAGAGAAGGGAGGGGGGGTATGAGGAGCGGGGGGGTGGGAGGAGAGGAGAGGAGGCGTGGAACGAGCGGCGCGAGAGAAAGTATCGAGAGGCAGAGGAGAGGGGGCAGAGGGAGCGGGAAGCGGCAGAAGGAAGAGAAGCAGAAGCAGGAGAGTTTTCCAGTCCACAAATGCCCTCCCTCCCTCCTGCCCCTGCCCTCCCTTCACCCACCCCGTTCCCTCTCGTTCTCGACCTCACCCAAGGCCCACACCCCCCCATGTTCGTCAGCCCTCAAAACTCCCTCTCAGGCGCCATTGGGGTCCCCATTTCATTCGGCCAACAACTGGAGGGTGCGCTCTCTGCTGCCAACAGTGTTCCCTTGGGCGGTCAGGGCATGCAAGGAGGAGTGGTGTCTGCTGTTCCTCCTGGGTTCGGCCCGGACGAAGGGCAGCAAGGTGGCTTTCTTTTTCCTGGAGAAGGAGAGGGCGGCTTGAGGCAGCACGAGGTGAGTGCGAGGCAGAGGGAGGCAGGTGTGAGTGCGATGCAGAGGGATTAGGGCAGCCTTTTGTGCAGTGTCTCTTCGCCAACAGTGTTCCCTTGGGCGGTCCCGGCATGCAGGGGAGGGGGCTTGAGGCAGCACGAGGTGAGTGCGAGGCAGAGGGATTAGGCCAGCCCCTGGGGGGTGCGCTCTCTGCTGCCAACAGTGTTCCCTTGGGCGCCCCCGGCATGCAGGTGCGAGTGGTGGCTGCTGTGCCTCCGGGGTTTGGTTCGGACGAGGGGCAGCGGGCGGGCTTCATACTCCCTGGAGCTCTTTCTGGCGAGCACGAGGTGAGTGCAATGCAAGGAAGGGGGTTCTGGGTAGCCCTTGGGGGGTGCAGTGCGCTCTCTGCTGCCAACAGCGTTCCCTTGGGTGGTCCCGGCATGCAGGGGAGGGTGGTGGCTGGCTGCTGTGCCTCGTGGGTTTGGTTCGGACGAAGGCCTGAATGCAGGCTTTTTGCTTCCAGGATCTCATTCTGGGGAGGGAGACGGCGACCTGAGGCAGCACGAGGTGAGTAAAAGGCAGGAAGGAATGCAGTTGCTGCCTACAGTGTTCGCTTGGGCGGCCAGGGCATGCAGGGGAGAGTGGTCTTAGCCGTGCCTCCTGGGTTTGGGCCAGACGAAGGAAAGCCCAGGTGCGGCTTTTGAGTCGTCTCGAATTCGGGTTTGGGCCAGGCAAAGGCCCAGGTGCTGCTGCTGCCATGCTTACCCCTCTGGCGTTTGCTGCTGCCACTGCTGCTGAACCACATTCTCATTCTGCTTGGAAGGAGAATGTGCTGCAGGGCACCAGGAGGTGAGTGCATGGCTCCTCTGAAAATTGGCGCTAGATAAGCAGCCTTTATCTCGCTCCTCTTTTGAGACGTCTTGAAACACACTGAGACGCCTTGGAACAAAATGAGACGGCTTGGAACAGAATGAGACGCCTTGGAACAAAATGAGACTCCATGCTCTTGCTCATTTTGTTCCAAAACCAAATGAACAAAATGAGACGCCATTTTCTTGCTCTTGGCCAAACCACAATGGGACCACAAATGAGACGCCTCGATAGCTAGCTAGCTGTCTCCGCAATCTCGCGCACATGGTCATTTTTTGAGACATCTCAAAAGACCTGGCTTGTCTGGCTTGGCTCGCGCACATGGTCATTTTTTGAGACGTCTCAAAAGACCTGGCTTGTCTGGCTTGGCTCGCGCACATGGTCATTTTTTGAGACGTCTCAAAAGACCTGGCTTGTCTGGCTTGGCTCGCGCACATGGTCATTTTTTGAGACGTCTCAAAAGACCTGGCTTGTCTGGCTTGGCTCGCGCACATGGTCATTTTTTGAGACGTCTCAAAAGACCTGGCTTGTCTGGCTCGGCTCGCGCACATGGTCATTTTTTGAGACGTCTCAAAAGACCTGGCTTGTCTGGCTTGGCTCGCGCACATGGTCATTTTTTGAGACGTCTCAAAAGACCTGGCTTGTGTGGCTTGGCTCGCGCACATGGTCATTTTTTGAGACGTCTCAAAAGACCTGGCTTGTCTGGCTTGGCTCGCGCACATGGTCATTTTTTGAGACGTCTCAAAAGACCTGGCTTGTCTGGCTTGGCTCGCGCACATGGTCACACACCCCCTCAGCGGAGCTGTGGCTTGGGGCTATTGGCTCCGGCTTGGTCACGATCCCAAACCCAGTTTCTACCTCTTTTGAGGTGGTTTCTACCTCGACCTTCTCTTCGAATACTGTCTAGGCCTGCAGTGCACTCCCCCTCGTCTCGTAGTCTTCATCACCTTTCGAGTAAGCTTGCTGCCATGCCATTTATCACAAATACGGGATCAGATGCCAGTCACAGAATCCTTACCTGCATTCATGGCTTTGACTGGATGACGAGGCAAGCAAACCCATCCAAGTCCTGTTTTCGCAGGCTACCTCAACGAGCCTGTTTTCCAGGGCGGCTTGAGCTGAGAAGCTATGGCTGAGCTCTAGCATAGCTCGGCCTGCTGTGTCAACAACAAGGCTCGCGCAAGTGGGCTCAACTGGCGCAAGTGCTCAGCTCAATAGAAGACTGGCTCGAAGTCGAAACAATTTTATACTCAATACGAAGTTGTAGTCAATTTAAGTTTAGGGTCGGTACGAACTTCCGAACGGAACAAGTTTGGAGTCTGTACGAGGCAGAGACGGCTTATGGCAAGCCGAATGGACTCGTGCCCTTGCTGATGCATAACAGTAATTTTGATTAGTGTGACGTTCGGGTAGTGAGACGATTGGATCGTGAGAGAGCCTCAGCCAGCTGTGTGCGAGGGAGAAGCAGCAGATGCTGCTTAGTTAATACTCTTAGGAGGCCATCCCTGCTCGGGCCAACTCAAGTGAGTACCCGTTCCTCTGCCACCGGGTTACTTACAATCCCGGGTTCCGTTCCTCTGCCCCTACGTGCCTTCTGTGCCTGTTCTTGCTGCCCACACACCGCAGCAGGGTTTACGTGCAGCTGGCGGCCCGGGGGGGGCTGCTGCTGTACTTGTTAGTAGCTCAGGGCGCATCCTCAGAGGAGCCGATCAGATGGAGAGTTTCCTGCGCAACGCAGAGAGGCTCGAAGCGGGGGGAGCAGCAATGGGGGGAGCCGATCAAATGGAGAGTTTCTTGCGCAATGCGGAGAGGCTGGAGGCAGCAGGAGCAGCGGCAGGAGGAGCAGGAGGGGGACGGGGAGGAGGAGGGGGAGAAGGGGGGTTTGGGATGGCTGGAGGTGGTTTGGGCTCTCCTACCCCACAGCTGCAGTCTGCAGCAGCAGCGGGTGCATTGGGTGCTGGTGATGCAGGGAGGGGGGATTTCGGCAGCTTTCTCCGCAATGCAGAGCGGTTGGAAGCGGTGCATGGGGGGAGATATGGGGAGATGCGCGGTGACATGGGTGGGGGCATGGGAGGGGCCATGGGTGGGCTGCAAGGAGAACTGGCAGGCGGCATGAGAAGTGCATCCATGGGACCCATGGGGCCTGTGATCCGCATGCACGTACCGCCGTTCGACCCGCATGCGCCCCCACCCCCTCACATGTCTCTCCGTGGGCCCATTCCCCCGGGCTTTGAAGATGGACCCCCCTTTCCAGAGCCGCGTTTCGGAGGTGCACCGCCTCACATGCAGCAGCAGCAGCTGGGAGATCCAATGGAGCCTCTTACTGAGGTTGCGCCGGTGACTGTGCGGATGGTCGGCACGCATCGTGTGATGGTTGTTGCAGATTCGCCCGTCCGCCCACCACCGATGGAGCTCCCGAGGTCCATGGATCCCTTTTCCCCCAACATGCCACTCGAAATGCAAGGCGGAAGGCCTCCCTTCTTCTCCCAGCAGCAGCAACAGCAGATGCCGCCACAGCATTTTGGTGAAAGCGTCCAGATTCGTGGAATTCACGAGCGGGGGTTCCCGGGACCGCCTCACCACATGATGCAAGGCCCGCCGGACCTTCTTCCTCCACGTGGTGATTCTTTTCGACCGCAAGGCCCCCGAGGAGAATTCTTCCCTTCTCCTCAAGGGGGACCACATGGGCCTCCCCCATATGGCCCTCCCCTTCATGGGCCCCCGTTTGGCCTGCCACCATTTCTCAATGATCAAGGACCTAGAGGGCCTTTCCGTGGCTTTCCCCCCATGGACCCCCGTGGAGGAGTGGAGGACCATCCGCGTTTTGGTGGTCGAGGCCCGTTCGATGGTGCCGGTGGTCCGAATATTGGGGGTTGGATTGATAAGTAGAGCAGTGCATCGCCACAGCTACGGATTCTGGTGGAATTTATCCTACGATGTTACATTTTTTTCTCTTTGATTACTTGAAGGCTATGCTTAGACATTTGTAAGCAAGCTGCAGTCCGTACATTGATGAAGGCTGTTGACGACTGCTTGAAACAGTGCGGGTCTTTAACAGGTAAATAAGTGAGATAAAGTCTTACCACTTGTTGTTAATTCTTGAGGTGTTCGTAGTGTACCAGATGTATCCAAGAGTTTTGCGAAGATTCGCGATGTGTGGATGTCGCACACAGGGTGACATTGCAAACCGAACTGGGGAAGCTATCAGCGGACTGTGACTGCCACCGTAGTGCACCTTTTCGTAGAGTGGAGCATTCCCGTCTTCTGCCTGATGTCAATGAGGTCTTGTACCGCTTTGAATTGCATAGAAACGAAATACCGCCTGTATCACCTTTGCGTTGGCATTGCTTTCCTGCTAGCTCTAAGGAGGCGTCACAATTACTGAGGATAGCTGCGCATCAATACCAGCCAAATGCGGCACGTCTCCTCGCCTGTGCAATTCGACGCATGTTTCCAATGGTTGACTGTCGCAATTACTGCTCCTCGCAATCTATGGATGACGATTTCCAATTCGAAGCTATTGCATTTCCGCTTGACCTCTTTTTGGGGTCAACGGCAATTATAGGAGGCGCGTCGGAGCCTCACCCGTCACTCACGCCCAGCCAGCCCTACCTAATGGCGTGTCTCTTCGGCGCAGAGCAATTATTTTGACGTGGCCTATAAATGAGGGGGGTTTCATCCATCTATTACACTAAATCAACGATCCATCTTTCACTAATTCAGCTCCCACACTTCTAGCTACTACAAACCGTTTCCTCCTGCAGACCGTGGTTCTGTGTCTCGTCTTTTGAATCATGGCCTCAACTCCAGCCCGCGTGCTACACGTTGGTATGAAATCAGAGCCGCTTCTCGATCCTCTATGTTCTCAACGTTTCCATTTTTTTTCCCTAATTTCTCAATTCTTTTCGTTTAAATTGGAGAATAATCGGCGCTGCATTATAACCCTGCCTGAGCATCGACCTCTATCGCATGTGTTGCGAGCGTGCAGCATTCTTCGCGGCACTGGTGGCCCTTGCCTACTCGGACGACGATAAGGATTATGGTGCGTGTCCCTTCCATCTGCCTTTGCTATCCGTCATTTTCCTTAATTACCATGTCTTTCCGTTTCATACCTTCCCATTCTTGCATCATCTCTCCTTGTCTTCTGTCACTTCATCCTCACTCACCCTCCTCGTTCTCCCTTCAACAGAGCGTTTTAACTCTCTGCTGATTGGAGCCAACGAGGTTCCAAAGAACAACACCGAAGCTGCCAGGAAAGCTGTCGGGGACAAACGAGGGATGGTCCACATGAAGCTTAAGATCTACAAGTGAGTCTTCCTCCTTCATTTGCTGTGCTACATCTGTGATGCATGAGTAGCCGATGTCCTGCCTACACTTGTTTCAGCTTCGTTTGATACCTCTGGTGACCATCCGTGATCAGGGAGGATGGCAAGCCTACATGGCTGGAGTATTCGGTGAAAGCGTTGAAGCTGGAAGGCGAGATGCCGCCAACCAAGACGCACATACACCCAGGGAACAAGGGGCAGAACAACCCCGTGCTGCTGGACCTGCCGTGCTCGTACGAGAGGAAGAGCCGCACCGACTGGCGCTGCAAGGGCTCCCTCGGGAAGAAGGAGCACGAACGCACCAACGACCTCGTGTCAGCGCTTAAGGATATCTCCAAGAATCCGAAGGGGCACTATGGGAATATTCACACGAAGAAGTATTCTGATGGTGCCGTGCGTGGTCAGCTCTCCAGGGGCTAGATAACCAAACAAGCTGAGGACTTGACAGTCGATGAGCAAGGAATAAAGCATCTGCAAGAGTAGATGCAAAATATTATACAAAAACTATGCTCTGTTGGTGGTGTCTGAGCAGATGGCCGACAGCAGAAACTTGTTATGATTTCATTACTATTGTCAGGGTGCGCTATGGAAGTGGTGAGGCTCCTTATTTTCCTAGGTAAGTGTGTTCCTCACATGTACCGGTAAGTGAACTCCGGTATATGGTTGTTCATATGTAACATTCAGTGTACGCGATAGTGCTGCTGTTGGCTGAATACAGTCCGCAAGTACTTGCCACACTAGTTCCTGCCCGTCGAACCAGTTCGCAAGGGAAGGCTGACCCGCTTGATGCCCTCTGCATTGCACAGCAAACAAATAGAACATTCGGAAACCGAATTGCACCGACTGTGTTGGCCGAAGAAGCTGAGGACCACAATGGCCTGTTCTGGTGCATCACGTTCGAAAGCGGTGAAAGCCGAAACCACGATTCACCGTGTAGAAACTTACTGCACCTCACCAGGTTTAATTTTCCTCATTTTCGTCGCTTCCCTTCACGATTTCAGCAACGCGTCACACTCGTGGCTCGCCTATTTTCTCGCCTAGAGCTGCTATTATTGAGTTGCGGCCAATAGCATTTCAGCGAGTTGGCAAGAGTGACGACAATTACTTACTCGACGCCAATGTTATTCCGGCTGATGCGCTCCCCAGTGCTATCAATGTTCCCGATGGCACTCGATGCGCATCGTCTCCTCCTATCGTTGGGCTGAAATACCTTCGCGGAATCAAATGTGACGCCGGGCCTTTCTGACGTTTTTCCATCTCCGAGCCTCAATGTGACGATATATGAGGGTAACTCCAGTCCCTAGAAACCCACGTAGGCGTATTTCTGCATTTCGCTGGACCTATTTAGTAGAAATCAGTAACTAGCTCCCTCTCGCGAACCGATTCTCATTTGACTATTCTTGAACTCATGGCCTTCATTCGTGCTCGTTCGGTCTTACTATTGGGTAAGCGTTACCCCTAGAGAGAATCCGCAACGTCAATGTTAGCTCACTCAATACTCACTGCATGCCAGCTGTCAACCAGGCATGGTAACCCGATTGATAAATTCGCCTCTCGTCGTGTGTGTGTTCGTCGTCCAGCTTTCCTTGCCGCGTCGTTGGTCGCGAATGCTTACGCCGCTGGTTCCAGAAAAGACGCTCCGTTTTCTACCGGTCAGTTCGAAATCTCACGTTTGCATACCCAAAAATATATGTTCCGCGTATGAACACCATATGTCCACCGTGGATTTTAATCTCACTCTGAAATCTCAATGGCGTGTGACTTTCCTTCCAACCCGAACTCACCCTCTCCCTCAATGTCACGATCGTGGTTAACCAATAAGCAATGTCTCAATGTCCGGACCATCATTTTTACTTAACGATACAGTTCGCCCTCCCTGAAGTTGGCCTTTTGTTAGTCACACTGTTGAATCATGTGAACATTTTTGTCTTTGTGCTTTGTTGGGATAGTCAAACGATCAGTGTAGGCCCAATAAGCTTTGGCTTTTAGAGCCATGTTCGTTGTTTGTATGCTGGTCACGACCCTCTCTCTTTCAATGTCTCACTGCCAAGCTGCGACCTCACCTCCACCATCCCCTCCCAACCCCCCAACCCGCCCCTCTTCCCCCCCACACCCCCCCTCCCCCTCCATCCCCTCTCCCCCTCGTTTCTCGTTCAACAGACGCTTTAGGTGCCACCCTGTTGGGCAAGCTCGAGATTCCCAAGAATGGCTCCAAAGCTGCCAGGAACGCCGTGGGCGACCCACGCGGATCGGTTGTAATGAGACTGGATATCCACATGTGAGTTTGCCAGGCTTGAATTCCGCAGCTCTAACAGAGGAGAGCCAATGGGTGCTCTGATGATACCGGGTTTAGTCTTCCATGTTCAAACCGCACTCTGTCATGTGATTCACGTGTCCGTCAATTCTTCCCCGGTAACCCCGTGATGATGTGGCTTCGTGATATTCAGGGAAAACGGCCAGCCTTCGTGGCTCGAGTACAGACTGGCAGCTTTTCACATGCAGGGCAAAATGCCGCCGACCGCGACGCATATACACAGCGCAAGAGCGGGATCGAACGGTCCCAAGGTGATGGATCTGCCGTGCGAATATCAATTCGAAAAGGAGAACGGTATATGGCTATGCAGCGGCGTGCTTGGCAAGAATTTGGCGGAACGGACAGCAAAGCTTTTGTCAACTCTCAAGGTTATTCGGAAGAATCCGAGGGGGTTCTATGGGAATATTCACACGGTGAGGTATCTGGACGGCGCAGTGCGTGGGCAGTTAGGCAAAGCTGCTGAAGAGGGGGTACACTTCGATATGTGGTGGGAAACACTAGGATAAGGGTTAACCATGTGTGTTTTGGTTTTGTTGTAATGTAATGAGTGAAGAGAACAGATGCTTTCCATTCCCTTGTACAATAATAGAACAATGCTTACATCATTGTTCCCTCTCACCCACCATCATTGTTCTCCCAACCATTACCTGCAATGCTATGTGTGACTATCCTACCAACCAGCCCACCATGCTTTCAATGCACAACACAACACAAAGTAGGATCTCCTGGTTCTTTTTCCGTCATCCGTATTCTCTGTTCCCTGTTACCCTGTTGCTCAAAGTCCCCTGCCCTGCCCTCTTCACTCTTCTGCTCAGCCTTGCTACTTCCATTTGAATCCATTCCCTAGGTCCTACTCCTGCTCACGCTGTGCCACACACAGTCCACATCGGCACACAAAACCATAGTCTGCTAGCAGTGAGGTGTATTGTGAAAAGTCTCCAAACACACAAAAAGGTAGTCTGCCAGACCTCGTTTTTCTTCTCGTGAAAGAGACCCCTCCACGGTAGGCGGTGACCACCTGTGGGCGATACGGTATGTTGGGGGGGGGAGAAAGAGAGGGAGGGGGGGAGAGAGAAAAGGGGGGGGGGAGAGAGATAAGGTGGGGGGGGTTGGAGAGAGAAAGGGGAGGAGTGACTCCCCCACATAGGAAATGAACACCTGTGGGCAAAAGGTGAACAAGACGAAGAAAGAAAGGAAAAAAACATTCGCACGATCACAAGGGCCGAAGGAAGGACTAGGGTAACGGGCAGGACATACTAACCGGACAGGTGTTGCAGGGAGCAATCAGGGACTGGTGTGTGTGCCTGCCTGCCTGCATGCATGCCACTGTTGCAGGGAACATCATATTGCACCCGGCCGGGGTTACAAAGGAGTGCATCGCTCCCATAAAAAGCAGGATATTTCCGGAAATAAACGGGTTGTTGCCGATGGGTAGAAGCTGCGGGTGCACCAGGTGCTGCTGGTGCTGTCGGTGCTGTTGGTGCTGCCGATGCTGCTGGTGCTACTGCCAGTGCCGTTAAATTTTGGTTGGGGATCACAGGTGGGCAGAAGTTGGCCTATCTGCTTTCTTCCTTACTTGCATTGTAGTGGGGAGGGCAGCAGCAGATAGTTTATGTCTCTGAAGTTGGGTGAGGAGAAAGGAGAGGACAGCGCTGTTGAACTTGCTGCTGTTGACACTCTAGATGGCACTGATGCTGGGTGGTTGATGCAGGGAGCAGCACTAATGGCACTTAAGATGGTTTAGGTCATGCGTGGTGAGGAAGGAGAGGACGGCGCTGTTGAACTGTGCTGCTTTGTGCGCCTGGCAGGATGGGCATAGGGGTTGAAGGGGCATGGGAAGGGGTTGAAGGAGCATGGGAAGGGATTGAAGGAGCATGGGAAGGGGTTGAAGGAGCATGGGAAGGGGTTGAAGGAGCATGGGAAGGGGTTGAAGAAGCATGGGATGAACGTGAGGAATTGCACAGGAGCATAGAGCTTGAGTGGAGGAGGGGTGGATGGGAAGAGAGGTGGAGGGGAGGAGAGGTGGAGGGAGGAGAGATGAAGAGGAGAGATGAAGAGGAGGACAGTAGAGACGTGGCATGCTGCCTACGTACTGACACACCCCTCATCACTGCATATGCACCCCTCGGCACCCCTCATCACACCTCAGCACACCTGAATGGCATGAGCGCCCTTCTCAATCACCTCAAGGCGACAGGATGAGCCAAAGTGCCTGATCGGGGGAAGAGGGGGACGGTCAGGGAAATGTGTATTTGAGCAATGGGAAGGGATGAAAGTGAAAAAGGGGAAGAAGAGGGGACGGGAGAAGGGAAGATGGAGAAAGGGAGAGGTTTATGTGAACAATAACAGGTGATAAATCTGGAGAAGGGTGGAGGTGGAGAGGGGGAAAGGTGGAGAAGGGGGAAGGTGGGGAGGGGGCATGGTGGAAAAGGGTGGAAGGTGGGGAGGGGGCATGGTGGAAAAGGGTGGAAGGTGGGGAGGGGGCATGGTGGAAAAGGGTGGAAGGTGGGGAGGGGGCATGGTGGAAAAGGGTGGAAGGTGGGGAGGGGGCATGGTGGAAAAGGGTGGAAGGTGGGGAGGGGGGATGGTGGAGTGGGGGCAGAAACTTAACCAGGCCAAGTGTTTGAGTGCTGTGTGTGCGTGTGTGTGTGTGCAAGTGCGCGGGGAGGGAAGGAGAAAGCAGAACCGAGAAGGAGGGAGCGAGAGAGGGAGTCTCACCGGTGCATGCGATGGGCAATGGAAAGGGGAAAGAGCTGGTCACTACCTCCCCACACAACAAGGGTGGGCTGTTACGTGGATCGGGCGGGGTATGAGAGAGAGTGGATGGGAGACAGAGTTACATCACAAAACAGTGGGGAAAAAAAAAAAAAAAAAAAAAAAAAAAAAAAAAAAAACGGAGAAACGTGGGGAGAGGAGAAATGCAGGGTGAAAGGGAAAAAACAAGGAGTAAGCGAAATCGCTGGCATGCGAGAGAATTGAGGTGTGGTGAGAGAAAGGCATCAAGGAATTACCTCCAGTCTCGATGCCACTCCTCACATGCACAATGTAATTGTCGACCCCTGTGCACTTCACCGCATTTCACCACTCAGCACCTACCATTGAAGGCACAGCGATGCCCTCTGGATGCTGTGCATTGGCATGTGCTTCTCTCAACGACGCCTCCAGCAGCCCTGCCTTCTCCTCCCTGTTCTCAAACAGCACCTGCCATGCATGCACCACACAACAACGCACAGCACCACACAGCAACGCACATCACCTCACAGCACCATGCTCGCACAGCATTGACGGTTCTCACAAGTTGAGGAAGCTTCAGCTTGAATCAGCTATTCCGGAGTCACTGTTGAGAATCTGAACCCGTGCACATGCAACAGATTCTCCAGAGAGCCGGACAGCCGGCCAGCCGGACAGCCGGCCAGCCGGACAACTGGACAGCCAGACAGCCAGACAGCCAGACAGCCGGACAGCCGGACAGCCGGACAGCCGGACAGCCGGCCAGCCGGCCAGACAGCCGGACAGCCGGACAGCCGGACATCAGAATCTCAAAGCCCTTCACTCCAGCGGAGTCCGGATCTGGGAGGGAGAGGAATGACCGGGAGTGGCACACACACACACCTCCAAGGCGTCCTGCAGCAGCCAATCCGGGAGGTACGGCGCCTCGTTGTTCCCGAGCCTGATCAGCCGAAGCAGGCCGCTAGGCTCGGTGGGCAGGAAGAGGTCCGGTGGAGTCTTGGCGTGCCAGTGCTGCAGCACCCCCTGCACCTCCCCCTGCGTCAGCATGAGCCCCGCCCCTCCCAGCACTAGCTGGGTGACACGTGTGGGATAGAGAGTGGCCATCCTGCAGGGGGGGATAATGGGAGGGGAGAAACCCGGGGAAGAGGGGACGGAGAAGGGGAGAGAGGAGAGGAGTGAGAAGGTGGGATGTGAGCAATCAGGCGGCCAGTGTGTGCGCCTGTCTGTCTGCCTGCCTGCCTTCCTGCCTGCGTGTGTACGTGCGTGCTACTGTTGCAGCACCCCCTGCACCTCGCCCTGCGTCAGCATGAGCCCCTCCCCTCCCAGCACTAGCTGGGCGACACGTGCGGGATAGAGGGTAGCCATTCTGCAGGGGAGGGAAGGAGGGAGAGGAGGAGAGGTGGGATGGTTGCTGGCTGGGGCGTTTGTCTGGCCGATCCTGCCGTAATGCACAGCTTATGGATGGATTACGGCATTTGACGAGGAGAAGAGGACTTTGGCTTACTTACTTGTGGGCGACGATCCCGCCGTAGCTCACGCCGACGACGGCGCACCGTTGGATGCCCAGCCGGTCCATCAGCGCGATCATCGCTTCCGCCTGGAACCGCTCGTCGCGCCGCGAATCGCGGGAGTACGAGCCGCGGAAGAACAGCAGGTCGGGGATGTAGAGGTCGAAATGGCGGGAAAACGCGGCGAGCTGATTTATCCAGTGGTTTAACGACGACGCGCCGAAGCCGTGGAGGAGTAACAGAGGGGGTTTCGCGGGAATTGCGGCGGAAGGCACGGCGGGTGATGCGGCGGGTTCCACGCCGCGAGACGCGGGGACCCAGCAGGAGACGAGCGTGAGATTGTCGACGTGGAATTGGTCAAGGCGCAGGCCATACGCGTTATAAACGAGCGCGAAACATGATTCTTGGATTTCGATTACGCTGGGCAGCAGGCGAGTGGGAAGGGCGGCTGAGGAGAGGAGGCAGGACGGGAGTATCGCCATGGCTGGTAACCCAAATTGTAACCGGAGACCCGAAATGTAACTCGACCTGTAACCAGCGTGCACAGTACGCCAATGCACAGGCCGCAATCTTACGAGTAAGTAGTAGAGCGATCTACTTATCGCCGTTGATTACAAGCCAAGCCTGCTACTACCCCATCCACGCTCAGCAGGCCACAGGCTTCCGCCGAGTGCGCTGCTCCACCTAGTAAGCCGCATGCTATGTCGGATCGCCAACTTGCACTTCTGCCACGACACCGCGACTCCTACTGGAAACGAATAAGTAAATACTTGGATTTCTACTCCTGGGTGTATGGTGGCAGGAGGCTTGACCGCGACCCACCAGTTACACGAGCTACCATGCTTGCTGCTCAACCGTGGAATCCTGGTTGTTTTGTGCCTACCACACAGCCTCACAACAACCAGCAGAACTTGCCGTGGAAATGACGGTTGCGTTTGACTCGGTGTTACCACAAGAAACGAAATGAGATGAGACGATGGGCGGGACAGGAGGGATCTGACCTGACTGGAGCTGTTGTTGACTGGCGCAAGGAGGGGATGCAAGTTCCAAATTCCAATCATCCGTTCGTTTTGTCGGAAGCATTTTCGTTCCCCTCGCGAAGGCTTCTGACCAGGGTCCAAACCGGACTTAACGAAACAATGTGCTGTCTATACAGAACTCGCTTGGAACCACAGAGATGCCCCAGACGTACGGGCGATACCGGGATTCGTCCGGCTTCGTATTTTCCGTCGTCAGCTTCGTGCAGAGCAGTCTTGTTCCTCAGGGGGTGTCCGAAGTGAAACGTCGATGGATGTCGGCGGATGTCGGCGGATGTCGGAGAATCCTGACGGTCGAAATCTCCGATCCGAGGGCTGATATGTATCGACATCCCCAAAAGGATGTCAGCGGATGTCGACGTTTCACTTCGGACACCCTCTCAGCATGGGTTTCGCAGAACATGGTACCAGCCTCATCCTGCCCGTGCGCTGTCCACCAAAACGGGAGGTTTTGAAGTGTGTTCCAGTGGAAGTGGTTCACTCACACTGAAGCATAGCAAATCTCAGTGAAGCACACAAAAACGTGTACAGATCTTATGATGATATGCGTTGAAACCCCGATATTGTTCCTGCAGTTCATCAGCTCATCTTGTACATTTCCCCATCCCTCCGCCAGAATGTTATTGGCTGTCATGTAGACAATACATACCGAGGGCAGGGGAGGAACAGTGTTTGCTTCGCTACACCCCCAACCACCACGATTGCCTTCATGTCCACCTGATCCGTGCCCCTTGACTAGGTTCGGAACGATATTCTCCAGTTTGCACATCAACACACTCGAACCACATGATCCTTTCCCCCCTCCGCAACCTTCAGGTTCGGTCGGGCAGGGCATGCCTGAGAGCCCTTGCCCCTCGAGATTGCCGCCAACCTTTCTGCTGCTCTGCTCGATTCCCCCTAGACCCATGTTTTGGCGACATTCCCAGAACCAGAACGCCATGAAGTTGTCGCGACTCCATAACACCAGTGCTGCTCGCAATTCAAGACCATCGAAGAAGTGACTTGATGTCTGCTCCTGCTCTTGTCCTGCCTTGGAAGTAGATTGTGTCTTTTCGGCTGCAAAGGGCGTGTAGCTCGCCTTCGAGTCGTCCCTATTGATATCTTACCATACTGGAGGTAGTCAGTGTGTGCTGAACACTGGAGGGTTGGGTCCAGACATGCTTTGCCAATCAAGGAACGACGATCGCATTCTGTTTCAACAATGCTAGAACAAGCAGCGAGTTAGCACCTCTGAGACTCGGTGGGTCAATAGTGATTGTTGATTTATTCTCCTGACTCAGAAACGTAGTCAGCGACGCGGTGAGTTAACAAGTTTAAGACTTCGTGACGGCGTGACGCAATCAGTGACGCGAAAATGCACAGTCTAGCGATGGGGACGAGCCGCGGCCACGTGGCGGTGTGGGTGGTGGAGGTGGTACGAGACAAGGAGGTCAGCAAGGACGTGCTACTCACAGCCATCGAGGACGCGCATCAATGCGCCTTCCGCGTCGCCTTCAACCTCGTATCTGTCTTGACTGCTGTCCCATCGTCCAGTAAGTTGAAAATTTTAGAGTCGAAAGGAGGTCAAAAGGAGGTCAGCAAGGACGTGCTACACACAGCCATCGAGGACGTGCATCAATGCGCCTTCCACGTCGCCTTCAGCCTCGTCTCCGTCTTAACCGCCGTCCCGTCGTCCAGTTAAGCGACGATGGCCTGAATTTCGTCGCTCCGTCTTAATTCCGCTTTTCATTACCAGTTTCTATAAAAGCGTCGCCAGAAGCTTGCCGTCGTGACCGCCGTTTTGATTGAGTCACTCATTTGCTTAGGTTGCTCTCGCTTACATGTCCACTGCTGACGTATTTGCTCATGGCATCTGCTCATACGCGTTAGTAGCAGACAGGCGTTCAGCCTCACCATGACCTTCCGCTGTTCCATTAAATTCAACAATTTTCCTCAATCCACCACCTTTTCTTCTCATTCGCCTCCAATTTCCCTTTCCCCTCCCACAACCTCCCTCACCCCTCCCTCACGCAACTCCTCGCAGCGGGTGGCGAGCTCCCGATTTCGCAGGCGGACGCGCGGCTTTTTAGACGTCTCTAACGTTCCCCCCTCCCCTCCCCCGCCTTTATAATGCTCCTCACGCCTTCCTCTCCGCGCTACTCCTCGCAGCGGGTGGCGAGCTCCCGATTTCGCAGGCGGACGCGCGGTCGCTGCAGCAGATGGAGAACAACATCTTCCAAAACATCCTCGTGCCTTTCAAGACCTTCTCCGAACGCAAGCATGTGAGCGCCCCAATTTTACCAAGTCGAGCCGCTCTGACCATTTCAGACTGCAGCAGATGGAGAACAACATCTTTCAAAACATCCTTGTGCCTTGCCTTTCAAGACCTTCTCCGAACGCAAGCATGTGAGCTTCCCAGCTCTTTCAATCCCGAATTACTCCTAACGAATTTGTAGATGTAGCAAATGGAAACCAGCATCTTCCAGAACGTTCTTGTGCCCTTCAAAACCTTCTCCGAGGGCATGCATGTGAGCGTCCCAATTTTTCGTAATCGAGTCGCTCTGCCAAATTCCGCAGATGCCTCAGAGAAAACAGCTACTCCCAAAAAATTCTCGAACGTGACATGACATGCCGTCATGTGTCAGGAAACGCGCTGAGAAATGAGATACATGATATGACATGGCATGTTGTCGCGACACTTTCTGCAGCATTATATACACGCATCCCTGTTGTATCACATTCCAATTGGTTAAATAGTAACTATCATTTCATAACGTGACTTCCCTACACCACGCATCGCCCATGGCAGATCCCAGCAGCCATGCACGTGGAGAAGAACGACAGGCGGGAGGATGGGCTGGTGCACGTGGCAACCTCCTTCCAGGCCACCCGCCTCTACATCGGCTCCAAGAAGTGCGTACGGTGCCCAGCTGTGTGAAAACGGTTATGAGTGGTTCAGGTGTGTTTTGAGTCGACTCAGAGCACACCTTGAGGGGCGGGCTGGTGCACGTGGCAACCTCTTTCCAGGCGACCCGCTTTTACATTGGCGCCAAGAAGGGCGTGCCCAGCTCATTATACTCTACTAATCGGATGCCAGCTGTGCAAAACAGTTCTGAGTGGTTTAAGTGGTTTGAAGCGGTTCCAATCGGTTCTGGGGTGCTACGTTGGCAGATACGCCCTGGGCAGGGTTGCGTACCACGTATATACGCTTGCGTATATACGTGGTACGCTAATACGCTCGTATTTCTTGGAAATACGCCCGGGCAGCCCGCCGAAAAAAAAAATCGAAATTGAAAAATTTCGCGAAGGTTTTGCGACTTGGCGATTTGTTACCGCGCAGTCGCATATCGCCCTGGGGGGGGAAGGAGAGGATGCAGTTCTGGCGGATGAGTATGGGGCAGGGGTGGTGTTGGAAAAGCCCCGCAAGGAACTCGGCTGTGTGGAGGCTAGCTAGAGGGTGGGGTGGGGATGTATGGGGTGGGGAGAAGTAGCCCCAAAGATGTATCTCTGGATAATTATGAAATTAAAAAACATGTGTTTTTGGGAAACATAACCCGCCCCCCTGAAACAGGTTTTTTTAGCCCTGCCCGGGAAAAAAGTTTTACTTGCCCGCCCGGCGTATTTTTACGTATCACCAGTACGCCACCCCTAGCGTACCGCGTATATACCCAGCGTATAATACGCTAGCGTATTATACGTGATACTCGTATCTGCCAACGTAGCTGGGGTGAAGGCACATTGCAGTGCCAGTACGGCACGTGCATGCATGCTGATCCTCTCCCTCCCTCCATGCTTTTCCAGCCAAATCTGCAGTCTCCCTGCCCCATCCCATCACTCGTTTTTTTCCTTTCTCCTCCCTTCATAAAGCCCTTGAATTTGTTAGGCAAGGCGTCCCACGTTTGATGCATGATCAAATCCGAGCAAGTGCCATTCATTCCCTCTCTTTCGCCCTCTCGCACACACACCTTCTCCCTCAATCTTTCTCCCTTCTCCCAGGAAGCTCTTTGGCAAGTCGTCCCAAGTGCCTGACTACTGCAGCGGCCACCTACCAGACACCTGCACGCTCATTGTCGTGCAGGGGGGGCGCAAGATCAGAGAAGCGCCAGGCGCAGCTGGCCCCCCTCCCAACCTGCCCGCCCGCTCCGCTCGCCACAACAACCCTCCTCTTCCCCAGCAGCAAGCCCAGCAGCGCGCCGAGCTCGTACACCCCTCCCCACACAGCAAAGCTCCCACGTCCCAGTATCCTCCCCAGCAGCAGGCGCAGTGGGCTCAGCCGCCGCTGCAAGCCCAGCAGCATGCGGACCCGTCACACCCCTCCCCACACAGCCAAGCCAACGCTCCCCACTATCCTCCCCAGCACATGCAGCGGGCTCAGCTGCCCCTGCAAGCCCTCCCAGGGCAGCAGCAGCAGGCTCAGCTGCAGCAGCAGCTTCAGCAGCAGCTTCAGCAGGCTCAGCAGCAGCAGCAGCAGCAGCAGCTTCAGCAGCAGCTTCAGCAGGCTCAGCAGCAGCTTCAGCAGGCTCAGCAGCAGCAGCAGCAGCAGCAGCAGCTTCAGCAGGCTCAGTTTCTGCCACGGGCTGGCAGTGGTAACGGGTCGGATGGCACTGCTGCTGCTGTTTACGCTGACGCTGGTCATGCTGCTGCTGCGGATGCTGGTAGGGGAGGGGGGGCAGGCGGGGCAGGGGGCTCGTCGCAGGTGTCTAGCGCTCTCAGCTCCCCCACGCAGAGCCCTCCTCTCTCCCCGCCCTCCCGCTCTGCCTATACCAGTATCTGTGACTCTGGTGTTGCTGCTGCTGCTGCTGCTGTCTCCCCTGCTGGTGTTGTTTCTCCCTGGGGAATGGGAGGCGGTGTGAATGGGTTAGGAGGGATGGGTGGCATGGGTGGCATGGGTCCAATGGGTCCCATGGGTGGTATGGCTGGCATGGGTGGCATGGGTGGCATGGGTGGTATGGGTGGTATGGATGGGATGGCTGGCGTTGGTGGCATGAATGCCATGGGTGTCATGAGTGGTTTGAGTGGCATGGATGGCATGGGCGGCGGCATGGGCGGCGGCATGGGCAGCATGAACGGCATGGGCAGCATGGCCGGCATGGCTGGCATGGGCGGCATGGGTAGCATGGGCGGATTTGGTGGCGGCATGGGTGGCATGGGTGGCATGGGCGGATTCCCAGCTGCTTCCTCTCTTGGTGCCCCTGCTCTCACCCATCTTTCCTCCAGCCCCACTGATAGCCATAGCACAGGCACTTCCTCTCTTCCCGGATTCTCCACAACTTCCACCACTGTGGGTACTAATGCTGCTGCGGCAAGCGGTTTCCCGAACCAGGGACTGCTTCCCGGCTCGGGAACAGACTCGGGGTCAGGTTCGGGAGGACTGGGTGGCCATGGGGAGGGGCCGCAGTGGAATGTGTACCGGCAGATGCTACGGGCGCAGCACACGCAGCTGCAGCAGCATCAGCAACACAACCAGCAGCAGCAACACAACCAGCAGCAGCAACACAACCAGCAGCAGCAACACAACCAGCAGCAGCAGCACAACCAGCAGCAGCAGCACAACCAGCAGCAGCAACACAACCAGCAGCAGCAACAGCAGGCAGGAGGGAGGCAGGCAGGAATGGTGTCTCCAGAAAGGGCATTCCCCACTGACACACGCACTGGGATCACCACTGGTGCTGTTGCCCCTAGTGCTTCCACCGCTGCTGCTGCTGTGGCTGCGGTTGCGGCTGCAGGGATGGCAAGAGATGGCAGTGTGGGCGGCAGCAGCACAGGCAGCACTGCTGACTGCCATTTACCGCGGGTAGACTCTGCTCCCGGGCCTCTCCGTCAGCTTTCCCCCTTGGGCGCGCCTGCTCACGACAGCAGCAGTGGCAGCAGCAGTAATAATAACAACCACGCGAACAGCCACACCATCCCGCATGCCAGCACTCACACCGGTAGCCTCGCAGGTGTAGGAACAGTGGGAGGAGCAGCAACAGGAGGAGCAGCAACAGGAGGAGCAGCAACGGCGGCAGCAGCAGCAGTGACGGCAGCAGCAGCGAAGGCATTCCACATCCCGGATTGTGCCCCTGTGACGCGCACCAGCAGCGGCGGCAGCGCCGGCAGCCGCGGCAACCCCAGGGCGTATGGTGCGCTCACTGCTTCCCGCCACCACGCCTCCACCCGCATGGGCGCCCCTATGCCAATCCCTGGGAGGGTTTCCCCTGCTCTTGACGCAGCAGACGCTGGGGCGGTAGTGGCCGCACAACAACAGCAGCAGCAGCAGCAACAGAGGCAGCAGATGGCTGAGTTAAATCTGAGGTCTGGTAGGGTTTCGTCTGGTGGCGAGGCTGACATTGGGGCGGCAGTGGCAGCGATGCAGCCGCAGCGGCAGCAGGGAGAGCAGCAGCAGGCGGGGCAGCATGCGGGACAGCATGCCGGGCAGCAGGCGGGGCTGCAGCAGGACGTTCATGCGGTGATGCGGCAGCAGCAGATGGATCAGATGGAGATGTTTCGTATGCACCAGCAGGCCCAGCTCGCGTTTCACCTGCAGCAGCAGCAGCAGCAACAGCAGCTGCTGCAGAGCCGAGCGGAGCAGAAGACGCAGCAGCAGACAGAGCAAATGGAGCAGACACAGCAAGCACAGCAAGCACCGCTGCCACAGCAAGTGAGACGGGCGAGCACAATGCCTGGCAATGTAGCTGATGCTTCAATGGCTGTTTCCACCCTCGGGGTTACAACCAGTGATACCCCCTCTGCTCCCCCTTCAGCAGCCGCCCCAGCGCCAGTCGCAGCCCCGTCCCCCTCTGCTGCTGCTGCTGTTGCTAAGGTTGGCTCCTCGGTCCCTGGTCCCGCGTGCACTGCCAACTTCAGCAGCAGCAGCTGCAGTAGCAGCAGCAGCAGGCAATCAGCAGCGCATACGGACCCACCACCAGTAGTACCTGTGGTGGCAGGAGCAGGGAGTGATGCTGGAGTAGCAGGAGGAGCATGGACAGCAGGGGCGGCAGGAGTAGCGGGAGCAGCAGGGGCAGCAGGGACAGCAGCAGACGTAGGGGGAATAACAGCAGGAGCGGCCGCTGGTAGAGCAACCAGTAGCACCGGTTCTGAGACTGCAACTGGTGCTTCCCTTTCACCGCCTCCTCCTCCCAGCGACCCAGCAGCTGCAGCGGCGGCAGCGCACGCGCAAGCACAAATGGGCATGGGCATGGGGATGGGAATGGGTATGAATCCATTTGGCTGGCCTTACATGAACCCATACATGGGCATGGGCATGGGTGGTGGGATGATGGGAGGACGGGGGATGCCCATGGGTCAAACGGGTATGATGGGTGGGATGGGTGGAATGGGGGGAATGGGGGGAATGGGTGGAATGGGTGGGGGTTTCCCTATGCTTGACTCTTCTACCTCTGCTTCCTCGACTTCTGCTGCCTCCTCATCTGCTGCTGCTTCCTCTGCAGCAGCAGCAGCAGCAGCAGCTAGTGGTGGGTATGGTATGCCAGGCATGGGATTTCCCGGCATGCCTCCTGGGTTCGGCTTCGGCGGAGCTCCCTTTGATTTCACAGAGCTCCTAGCCGAACTGGCTCGGCTGCAAGAACAGGCTCGGGCGGCCCAGCTCGCTGCCGAACGAGCCGACCAGCAGGCTCGGGAGGCTCGGGAGGAGGCTCGGATGGCCCTCGAGAACGCCCGAGCCGAATCCCAGCGGCGCTTAGAAGCCGAACTGGAAAAGGAATTAGCTAAGCGTCAGGCGGAGGAGGAGGCGAAACGGGCAGCGGCGGCGAAAGAAGAAGCGGCCGAGGCGAAAAAGGCTGCGGCAGAGGCAGCAGCATCAGCTGCGGCAACTCTGGTGAAAGCGCAGGAGGAATATGCGTTAGAACGAGTGAAGAAGCAGCAGGAGTTCCGGCAGTACACTATAGAGGAACTGGAGGCAGCTTGTAACGGATTTAGTGAGGAGAACCTGGTGGGGGAGGGCGGGTACGGGTCGGTGTATAAGGGCATGCTGGAACACTTCCCTGTGGCTGTGAAGGTGCTCAAGAACGCCCAGACGAACCAGGCTCTCAAAGAGTTTAAGAAAGAGGTGAGCGCGGTCAGCAGTGCAACGTGAGGACCTATCTGTGCCAGTGTTGAGTTGTCTAGGTGAGTGGGGAGGGCGGGTGCGGGTCGGTCGGTGTATAAGGGCATGCTGGAACACTTCCCTGTGGCTGTGAAGGTTCTCAAGAACGCTCAGACTAACCAGGCTCTCAAAGAGTTTAAGAGGTGAGCGGCCAGCGGCAAAGAGTGTGTGTGTATCCGTTGCTAGTGTTGAGTTCTCTAGGCGAGTTGGGAGGACGGGTACGGGTCAGTTTATAGGGGCATGCTGAAACACTTCCCTGTGGCCGTGAAGGTGCTCAAGAACGCCCAGACCAACCAGGCTCTCAAAGAGTTCAAGAAAGAGGTGAGCGGAAAACGAGGTGGGCACACTGAGTCTACAAGGTGAGCACTCTGTGCCCGCGGCTCCGTCTGCCACCGCACCACTTTGAGACCCCCTTGCAGGACCAACCGCGTGCTTACCGACTGACTGACCTATGCTGCTTTCTGGCTCTCTCTAGAACTGCTTCTCTTCCCCACCTCCCATCCCCCCATCCCCCACCCCCATCTCCCTCCATCCCCAACAGGTGGAGGTGCAGAGGGGGCTGAGGCACCCCACCGTAGTGCTGCTGATCGGGTGCTGCCACAACCCGCCGTGCCTTGTCTACGAGTACATGCCGCAGGGCTCGCTCTACGACCGCCTCCTCTGTGACCCACGTGGTTACCGACTGACTGGCACGTGCTTGCTGGCTCAAGTTCAACCCCTCCACCCCATCCCCCACCCCCTACCTCCCCATCCTCATCCCCCCCAGGTGGAGGTGCAGAGGGGGCTGAGGCACCCCACCATAGTGCTGCTGATCGGGTGCTGCCACAACCCGCCGTGCCTCGTGTACGAGTACATGCCTCAGGGCTCGCTCTATGACAGGCTACTGTGCGACCGCGGCTCCCCGCCCCTGCCCTGGAACGTGCGCTTTGAGATCTTTGAGAACATGTGCAAGGCGCTCATTCACCTGCACAACCGGTGAGTTTGAGTTTTCAGCTCCTTTATGTGCTTCGTTAGGGGACCTTGCTGCCTAGTGCTTCTTGCTACTGCTGTGCTAGGGGCTGCTCCCCCCTCGCACCGCCCCTGCCCTGGAACGTGCGCTTTGAGATCTTTGAGAACATGTGCAAGGTGCTCATTCACCTGTACAACCGGTGAGTTTCCAGCGCCTTTATATGCTGCCTTGGTAGGGCATCTTTGCTGTTTAGTGTTCTTGCTGCTGTGCTGTGCTGTGCTAGGGTAGGGGCTGCTGCTCTCCCCTCTCCCCGCCCCTGCCCTGGAACGTGCGGTTTGGGATCTTTGAGAATCTGTGCAAGGCGCTCTTCCACCTATACAACCGGTGACTCCTGAAAGCCGTTCCACTTGGGATAGATGCTGCTTGGGTCATTGTTAGGTGATGCTGGCTGCTGAGTGTTTGTTAACTTTTCCTTTCTTTTCTTTTCTTTTCCATGCTTTTCTTTTCTTTTCTTTTCTTTTGGCTGTATTCAGTGCCTCGTGGGCATGGACAACGGCCGCTCCTTCATGCAGCAGTCCATGGCTGTCGGCACCTTCGATTGCTAAGGCCCTCATGCCCCCCTCGTTCTCCCCATGCCATCCCTCCTCCCCTCCTCCTGTCCCCATATCCCCCTTCTCTCCGATCCCCCCACCTCCCTCTCCGGCCCCCCTCTCTCCAGCGTCCCTGCCATAGTGCATCTGGATCTCAAACCCGCTAACGTGCTCCTAGACAACAATTTCGTGGCCAAGCTAGGCGACGTGGGCCTCGCTCGTTTTCTAGTGGGGATGGACAACGGCCGCTCCTTCATGCAGCAGTCCATGGCGGTCGGCACGTTCGGCTACGTGGACCCGCACTTCCTCCGCACCGGCCAGTTCTCTCGCGAGTCCGACGTGTATTCCCTCGGCATGGTCATGCTCGACATGCTGATCGGCATCAATGAGACGTCGGGGGAACGGGGGAAGAGGGACAGAGAGTTGGAGGCGTTGGAGGAGTGTGAGGAGGGCGGGGATATGGAGGCGTTGGGGGAGTTGTTGGATCCGTCGGCTGGGTGCTGGCCGCCACGTGTCGCGCTGCGGTTGGTGCAGCTGGTGCGGCAGATGGCGCATTACAAGAGGAAGGCTCGGCCGGACCTGAGCAAGCAGGTGGGGTGATGGGGGTGGCCCGGGTGGGGGTGCGGGCTATGGTGGTGGTGACTTTTGGGTTGATTCAAAAGTCACCTTGAGGTGATGGTGGAGGGGGTGGGTGGGGGTGGTGGTGTTTTTGTGGTGGTGGTTGTGGTGTGAGGGTTGGATGGGCTGACTTAACCTCATCCCTTCATCTCATCATCCATCCCATCTCTCTCCACTCCCCCACATTCCTCTCTCTGCCCCCAGGTGATGGTGGTGGTGGGCGAGCAGCGCCCCTACGTGGATGCGGCAGTGCTGATAGACACGTGCTGACCTGATCTCTTGCCATTCATCTCCACTTCCCACCACGTCCCCCTTCTCCAAGTGATGGTGGTGATCGAGGAGCTGCGCCGATGCGGCAGTGCGAGCAGACACATGCTGATCTCATTACTTTATCCCAACAATATCTCTCCACTCCCCCACTCCTTCCTCCGAGTGATGGTGGTGATGGTCGAGCTGCGCCCCTACGTGGATGCGGCAGTGCTGGCAGGCATGTGCTGACCTCATTTCTTAATCCCTATGTACTCATCCACTCCTTCCCCCTCCCCCAGGTGATGATGGTGGTGGATGAGCTACGACCGTACGTGGACGCAGCAGTGTCGCTGGAGAGGGCGGACCTGACCTCATCCCATCCCTCCCCGTACCTCTCCACTCCTTTCCACTCCTCCAGGTGATGGTGGTGGTGGAGGAGCTGCGCCCCTATGTAGATGCTGCAGTGGCGCTGGAGAGGGCGGACCGCATGGATGACTACCGCGATTTCGTTCCCAACGAGTTCCGATGCCCCATCACCATGGTATGTGCTTGCACCTGCATTGGTTCCCGATCTCCAGGGTATGATGCATGCACCATCACCAGGGTAAGATCAGATGCTTGCCTTACCTCAATGCTATGTTATCTGCCGCATCACCATGGTACGTGCAACTTCCCCCTCTCTTTTCCTCCTCCTCTCCCCCCCCCCCCCCCCCGCCCTCCTCTCTTCACTCCTCTCCCTGCAGGGCATAATGGAGAACCCAGTGCTGGCCGCGGACGGCCACACATACAAGCATAAACCCTCCGCTCTCTTTCCGTCCTCCATCCTCTCCCCCTCTCCCACCCCCCTTTTTCTCGTCCCATCAGAGCATCAAGGAAAACCCTGTGCTGGCAGCGGACGGGCACACGTATGAGAGAAAGGCCATAGAGCAGTGGCTGCGCGTGCACCACACCTCGCCCAAGGCAGCACAGCACACCCATCCATGTCTTCTCCCCCCCCAACCCCCCACCTCGTGTGCCTGTCTCGCCCTCCTTCCCATCGGCCCCTCTTTCTCTCCTGTCCCCATCTTCTCCACCCACGCCCCCTGGTTCCCCCATCAGGGCATCATGGAGAATCCAGTGCTGGCAGCGGATGGATGGCCACACGTACGAGAGGGAGGCCATAGAGCAGTGGTTGAGCGTGCACCACACCTCGCCCAAGACAGCATACCCATTCTCAACCCCCAACACCACACACCACGCCGCCAGAGACGTGTGCCTGTCTCACCGCACGCCACGCCTCTTTCCATCCCTCCTCTTCTCTTCTGTCCCATCAGGGCATCATGGAGAATCCAGTGCTGGCAGCGGACGGGCACACGTACGAGACGGAGGCCATAGAGCAGTGGCTGAGCGTGCACCACACCTTGCCCAAGACTGGCCGGCCCATGTCTTCCCCCCAATCCCCCCCTCAACCCCTTCCCTTCGCAAGGGCGTGTGCCTGAATCACCCTCCTTCCCATCGGCCCCTCTTCTCCCTTCTCCCTCCCCTCCTCCCTTCTCCCTCCCCTCCTCCCTTCTCCCTCCCCTCCTCCCTTCTCTCTCCCATTCAGGGCATCATGGAGAACCCTGTACTAGCAGCAGATGGGCACACGTACGAGAGGGAGGCCATAGAGCAGTGGCTGAGCGTGCACCACACCTCGCCCAAGACAGGCCGCCGCCTCGACAGCAAGGCGCTCACTGACAACATAGCCGTGCGATCCATGATTGCCGAGTGGCTGGAGCACCGGCTGCAACGGAGAGAGTGAGTCTCTGTGCTGTCTCTATGTGCTTGCTCCAGTGCTTTCTTTACTTTCGTCCGGTCGGGATTCCTGATCAGAGGTTAGAGAGCAAGGCGCTCACGGACAACATAGCCGTGCGATCCATGATTGCCGAGTGGCTGGAGCACCGGCTGCAACGGAGAGAGTGAGTCTCTGTGCTGTCTCTATGTGCTTGCTCCAGTGCTTTCTTTACTTTCGTCCGGTCGGGATTCCTGATCAGAGGTTAGAGAGCAAGGCGCTCACGGACAACATAGCCGTGCGATCCATGATTGCCGAGTGGCTGGAGCACCGGCTGCAACGGAGAGTGAGTCTCTGTGCTGGCCCTGTGTGCCTGCTGCAGTGCTTGCTTCAGTGCCTCCAGAATGCCTGATCAACAAGTGGAGAGCAGGGCGACTGCTGTTTTCTGTTCAAATGTCTCATCAATCAATGGAAAGAAAGGTGTTCACAGACAACGATGATGTGTACTTCAAACCCTTCCTCCTTAACCTTTCCATTTCATTCACCCCTCACTCCCCTCACCCCTTCCCTCTCTCCCCTCACTCCGTCCCCCCCCCCCCCCCCCCCCCCCCCCCCATAACACGCATACTTGCACACAAGGTCGCATAATCTTGAAAGCCTGATGAGTGGCGAGCAAGCGGACGGTTACCACCCGGGTGGTTACGCGGATTCACGCGACATGCCTCTTCACGGCGCAGGGGGGATGCCTATGCAAGCAGGGCAGCAAAGGTACTATGAAGGCGGGGGTGCTGCATCGGGGGATTATATAGGCAGTGATGGTGTAGCTAGTGGTGGATTTGCAGGTGGTGGGGAGCTTTATAGAGAGACAAGGAACGGAGGAGGGGTGTATGTTGGCGGGGATTATATGGAGAGGTTGAGAGGGGGGTGTAGGGTGGTGGAGGAGGGGAGTGAGTGGGACGAGGAGGAGGAAGAGGAGGGTGAGGGCGGCATGATGCGTCCTGTAGTGGAGGGGTGTGCGGGAGGGCATATCCAACCTGATGCAGCTTCAGAGGACGAATCGGTTCGAGAATTGAGGCGGACCTAGCATGGTGGACAACATGTGTTCACGAAAATGTGTGACCAACAATAGGGTTTTATATGAAGTGTGGGGAGTGAATACAGGATTGGTTGGTTCTCTTTACGGTCCATTCAATTTGGACTGTTGTATATGCAGCGAACTATTGTCCAATCGTGCGATGGTGGATTACGGCATCCCAAGATTTTTTGCCTGTTTGACTCATCAGATAGTGGATCTTTGTTTCTTCGGACAAGTTAGGCCTACTGTAAATTCAGGAGAACATGAATTAGTTTTCTGACTCTATGTTAATCATCAGCATTTTCATTCTTTCTTGCATAAGAATATATGACATCATTGATAATTGCGTAACAATCATCAGCAAAAACAGAGTCCAGCTAGAGAGGTCACTGGCTTTCTTGGACCCTGGTTGTTATGAGTTGTGAAAGAGAAGAGTGCGCAGTATTCAATAACGCGGAAGTGATTACAACGTCTGAGGGAACAACGAGGACTAGAACTAATATAGCAATGCTAGCTAGGCCGAGGTCGCGGGGTCGCGAGATGGTTGGGTGCAGGTTCGGGGTTGGAAAATCCTAAGGCGACGCGAGAGTGGTTCGGAATGCGAGGTCGGCGGACCGAGCCTGGTTTTCCGAAAATCGGGGTTGTACGCGTACAGTGTGACCCAGTAAGGAATCCGAGAAAATTCCTTACACTACCCCCCCCCCCCCCCCCTTAAAGCTGCGGTCTACATACTAAAAGGGTTTTTTTGGGGCTAATCTAACTGCACACCCTTTGGCGCACGCTGGTTCGAGAGCGAAGTGAGCTGCCACCCCAATCACCTGTGCGAGGATTACAAACAGCGTTTGCGATGAGAAACAATTTCGCGGGCGAAGTTTTCTTGGCGGAAGTACACCGCGAAAATGCGGAAGATCCTGCGCCCAACACAAACACCCAAGCGGAACAGAAAACGCTGGCCAGAGAGAGCAGTACTGCCAAACTGCTCTAGCCTGCGAATCCCCGTACTAGCAGCAGGTAGCGCATCAGAATAATGCACGCCACCGTCGCAAACCGCCGCGAAATTCGCCTGTGGCGACGGATGTAGTGTCAGTTTCACGCAGCCACTGTGATAGCCGCGATTCCTGCTAGCAGCGTGTAGCGTGCAGTATGTTTAGCGCCAACCCGCTCACATCCACGATTCTGGCCAGCTGCGCGTACCGTACCGTATCGCCTGCTTCACGCCCAAGTATGTAGAGCCGCGATTCCCGCTCGCGGCGACTGATTCCCGCCCCCACGCTATGAGCCGCGATTCCCGCGAGTAGCCTCACCCGTTTCCCTCCAATTCGCACCTCCCTTTTCCCCCATATCGCACCTCCGTTTTCCCCCAGATCGCGTTCCCTTTTCCCCCATATCGCACCTCCGTTTTCCCCCAGATCGCGTTCCCTTTTCCCCCATATCGCACCTCCGTTGTCCCCCACCAGAGGACCTCCCATTTCCCCCATATCGCACCTCCGTTTACCCCCAGGTCGCACCTCCCTTTTCCCCCAAATCGCACCTCCTCCTCCTATGTCCTCCCGTCCCTCACTCCCATCTTCCTATCCCCCCCAACCCCTCTCTCAGCTCAATCTATCTCCTCCCTTCCCGCTCCCCCTTCTTTCTCACATGTCCCCCGCTCCTTGCCCTCATTCCCATCCCTCCTTCCCTTCGTTTCACCATTTTCTTCCCCATTTCCCCACTGCTTTCCCTTGGTTTTTCCCCTCCCCCCATCAGCCACCCGCGCCTGCAGCCTCGTCACCGCCACGGAACCGCCATCTGCACGTTTGACGAGGTGCGCGAGATGCGCCCATTCACGCGCCCGGAGCCTTTCCTCATCCCTCCGAACCTCTTCGGAGCCGCCCTCCAGTAGTGGTGAGAGCGTAGTGAGTGAGGTGGCAGTAGTCCCGTGGCAGCAGCGAGGTTGCGAGGGGCAGAGGCGTGGCGAGTGCGGGTAACGGGAGGGAAGTGCATCGTGCACTCAACTGCGCTCACACGAATCCGTGCATTTCCTCCTCATCCCTCCAATCCATTGCTCCTCTGCCCATTTCTAGCACACCTGACTTGCACTCCTCCCTCATCCCCCCCGGTCATCCTCTCTCCCCCCTGTCCTCCCGTCTCCCTTCCCCACGTTTCACATCCCCCCACTTCCAGTCCCTCCTTTATCCCGTCTTCCCTTTTCCCGTCCCCCCTTTTCCCTCCCACTGTCTCCCTTACCCCCGTTTCCCTACCCCCCGTTTCCCTTCCTCTGTCTCCTCTGTCCCCCATGTCCTCCTCTCTCACCCCTGACCTCCTCTCCCCCCCCTATTCTCCTCTCTCTACTGTGTCATCCTCTCTCCCTTCTATCATCCTCTCTCTTCCTCTGTCTTCCTCGCTCCCCTCTGTCATCCTCTCCCCACCTTGTCCTCCTCCCCCCCTGTCCTCCTCCCCCCCTTGGCCCCCTCTCTCCCTCCTGTCCCCCTCTCTCCCCCCTGTCCTCCTCTCTCCCCCCTGTCCTCCTCTCTCCCTCATGTCCTCCTCTCTCCCTCATGTCATCCTCTCTCCCCCCTGTCATCCTCTCTCCCCCCTGTCATCCTCTCTCCCCCTTGTCCTCCTCTCTTCCCCCTGTCATCCTCTCCTCCCCTTGTCTTCCTCCCACCTCCCCGCTACTTTTCACTGTGCCCCTTCCTCCCCATCTCACCTCCCTGCCTCCCCATGTCTCCTGGACCCCTCCATTCGCTTACATTCCTGTATGATCCATGTTTAGTTGTAACGCAACCTTACCCCCCCTGTCCACTTTGCTTCAAGGCTCATCTTCACCGGATCAATTCCAAACTCAGAGATGGCAGCCCCAATCACCCTTCCACCCTCGCCGTCAGTGGCACCCTCTCTTCCACTAGCTTGCTGCATGGCATGATGCAATCGGTGAAGGGAGCATGTGCTTTGTTCGTAAAGCGATGGCTTACTCCTTTCCCTCTCTTTCCCACTCCTTCACTCTCCTTCCCATTCCTTTCCCTTTGCTTTCCTTCTGCCCTGCCATTGCTCTGCCACTCTCCTCTTCTCCCCGTCTGCTCGGCTAAGTGTGCCGTGCAGGCTGCAGCAGGGCAGCGGGGCGCCATGGAGGGGAGGACATGGGCGCCCTCCTACCACCACACGCGCCATAGGGCGAGTGGATGCTGGGCTCTATGGCACTCTCCATGCGCCCTGCCACCACACGCGCCACTCATCCACCCCTCCTTCCCTCCTGCTTGGGCCTCCGACTTGCTGCTGCAGCTGGGGTGACTGCTGCAGCATGAGCACTACATGGGCTCTCACCACTCAGCAGGAGCTACATTACCCTCTAGTGGAGGCGACAAGACAATGAGAGTGGACAAAGGCTGTCTTGTACCTCAAGTTATTTACCATATAATACATAAACATTCTCACACCCACCAGTGTTGCAAAAGAGGGACCATCACAAATATCCACACATGACCAATGCTATCATTATTGAATGTATAGTACCTCAAACTGATTAGGGTATTTTGATAAGTAACTTGTCTGTCTAGCTTGTCTGCTTGGTTGCTTCATGCCTGATGTTATGATACGGCAAGGGCCCACATCACACTATCCTAGATCTGTCTAGCTTGTCTGCTTGGTTGCTTCATGCCTGATGAGATGCACCACGGAAGAGAGAACAGGGAGGGAAGAGGGAGCAGGGAGGGAAGAGAGAGCAGGGAGGGAAGAGAGAACAGGGAGGGAAGAGAGAGCAGGGAGGGAAGAAAGATCAGGGGGGAAACAAGGGGTAAGCGGGGGGGAAACAAAGGGTAAGAAGAGAATAACAAAGGGTAAGCAGGGGGGAAGCAGTGAATAAGCAGGGGGGAAATTTGGGGGTGGCTGGCTCTCAACGAGGTGATTACCATACGAGACAACGCCCTGCCCCTACGCCACACCTCCAACTCATGAACTGGGGTGGTGATGGTTGACTGCGGAATGGGGAGAGCGGGATGATGGGCAAGCAAACAGCGAGACAACAACAGGAACATGAGGAGAGAAGGGAAGTTGCTGGGGGGGACAGGGATACGGAAGGGAAAGCAACGGAAGCAATGATGAAGCACATGGGGCCACGAAGGGCAAGGGGCTGACAATTGAAAGAGAAGGAGCGGGCCACGAAGTGAGCTTCTTCCCCGCGCCTGCTTGCATGCTATTCCCCCGCGCCTGCTCGCATGCTATCCCCCCGCACCTGCTCGCATGCAATTCCCCCGCGCCTGCTCGCATGCTATCCCCCCGCGCCTGCTCGCATGTTATTCCCCCACGCCTGCTCGCATGCCCGCCACCCGCGCCTGCTCGCATGCTATTCCCCCGCGCCTGCTCGCATGCTGTCCCCCCGCGCCTGCTCGCATGCCCGCCACCCGCGCCTGCTCGCATGCTATTCCCCCGCGCCTGCTCGCATGCTATCCCCCCGCGCCTGCTCGCATGCTATTCCCCCGCACCTACTCGCATCCGACCTCCCGCGGCTTACTTTCTCTCAAATTCTGGCTCCCATCCCCCTCGCACCTCCGCGTCATCGGAGCCCATTCCCGTCCGCGTCGCCAGACCGCGTCGCTGCTCACACCCGGCCGCTCGCCTCACGTAATCGCGGCAGCTCCCAGCGCGCACCCCGCACGTAAACGCGACACACACCCCACCGCCACTCGCGCAATATCGCGACTCACTCCGGTCCGCGGCTTGAAGGAATATATTAGAGAGCGTAGCGATAGCGAGAGAGTCTCTGCTATGGGAATGATGTTGCGCCAGCAACTTGGTAGAGTTTTGGTAGCGTGTGCCTCTAAGGACTTTGTGAGAATTGAAGTAGCATTTGGGCCAAGTAGAATTGCAACATCAATTATCAAACACACAAGCAAACACAAACATATATAGGCAAGCAAGAGTTGCACAATTGTTGCGTGGCGCTGCGAGTAACCCAACCCACACGAAAGTGCTGTGCAGGTGGGTGAACGCGCCCCGCACATTTCCAACCCAACTCGGCACCGGAATGTCTCACCGTGCACGCTACTCCTGCCAACACAGCAAGTGAGCAGCGTGCCTCACAAGCAAGGCACCTACGACCCCCAAGACTCGTCATTCCTAGCACCGATTCCGCCGAGTTCGCTGCAGTAGCTCACAGTCACCCGTAGTCACTAATGACCGCCACCGAACTCGTGCGTCGGTGCCGAGTAGACTCAGTCGTTAGGCGCCGACCTGCCAAGTCAAAGGTCATCGAGGGCCCTTGCTGTCGTAGGGCCCTCTAACACTCCCCTGCCATACTACAGCAAGGCCCTTTATAATCACAGGGCATGCATACACACATACACACCAAAACAAAGGGATACACACAAACGAAACACGCTCAAAGTGTAAACACGCACCGCACCAGCCATGGATAGGCCATGGCACCATCCACATCATGGAGTGTCTAGGTCTTCACTCCCCTCACTCGAGAGCCGCACCTGCCCCACAGCCTCGAAGCAACGACTGAAGGCGGGGAAATGCAATGCCTTTGTGAGGTAGTCAGCAGGCTGCTCGCTCGTAGGGATGTACTGCAGCTGCAGCTTCCTGCGCTTGACCATGTGCTGCAGCCACATGTGACGACGCTCCATGTGCTTGAGGCTCCCCTTGAGCCCCATGCCACCTGCCACTGAAATGGCGGAGGAGTTGTCCACAAAGAGAGTCGTGGGCTCCTCACTCCTCAGCAGTTGAAACTCTGCCAGCAGGAAGCGCAGCCTGCGCGCCTCCTTCCCAGCCTCCACAGCAGCAATGTACTCAGACTCAGTGGAGGAAAGGGTGGCGCAACGAATCCGCTGGCTCGCCCATGAGACAGCAGCACCCCCGAGCACGAAGACATAGCCACCTGTGCTGGTCCTGTTCTGCTTGTCCCCTGCATCATCAGCATCGGCGTAGCCCACCAGCTCCAAGGACTCCGGCCCACCACCAAACTCCAGCGCCACATCCCTGCTCCCCACCAAGTACGTCAAGCACCGGTCCAACTCCTTCCAGTGCTGATCACTCCGCACAGTCTGGCCCGACCCCAGCTTGCTGCAGGCGAACGAGATGTCGGGACGGGTGGTACAGGCCGCGAACTGCAAGGATCCCACCTTCTGCCTGTACTCCTCCTCCTGGCGAGACTGCCATCCCACATCCTCGAAGGTCTGCACACTGAAAGGGTCAGAGGAAAGAGGGGTGTGAGGCACTCGCAGCGGCTGCTCCCCGTCAAAGAAGCGCCTATGGACCTTGTCCACATAGGCCCCCTGGTGCAGCCACAGCCTCCTCGTGGGCCTGTCCCGAATCAGCTGCAACCCCAGATATTTCTCCACAGGGCTAATCTCCCGCAGCTGAAAGGCACTCTGCAGCAGGTCACGCAGCTCCGCTAGCATGCTCTGACTGCGGCTGGCAGCAAGCAGGTCATCCACATACACCAGCAGCCAGCACATCTCCCCCTCAGCATCAGTCTTGAAGTACAGAGCCTCATCCACCTTGCTCTTCTTCCGTCCAGCCCCAAGCAGCACCCCATCCAAGGCCTCATACCATAGCATCGGGCTCTGCTTGAGCCCATACAGACTCTTCACCAACTTACAGACACGAGGAGTCCCATCCTCGTAGTAGCTCGGCTGCTCCATGTAAAGGTCTCGGTCCAGCACGCCATGGAGGAACGCGTTCTTCACATCGAGCTGCATCAGGTCCAAATCAAGTGCAGCTGCAATCGCCAGAAGCACACGCGCCGTCACATAGCTTCCCACAGGGGCGTACGTCTCCTCATAGTCCACCCCTGCCACCTACGTGAACCCCTTCACCACCAGCCTCGCCTTCTCACGCTCCACTATCCCATCAGGTCGGAACTTGGTGTTCAAAATCCAGCGGTTCTTCATCACATTCACCCCTGGCGGACGCGGAACCAACTCCCACGTCCCCTGCTCAATCAAGCTCCGCATCTCCTCATCCATCGCCTCCTTCACCTTGTCTCCCTTCCAGCAGCCCAAGGCCTCCTTCACTGTCATTTTCGCTATGTCCCACTGCCTCTCAGGATCAGCTGCCACGTCCGGGTCCAGGTTAGTCCACTCCTCGTCCTCCTCCTCGTCATCCAAGCCCGCTGGCTCAACCACTACAGCCCAAGCGTATCGAACAGGCGGGATACCACGAGTGATGCGAGTGGAGCGACGCAGTGGTGCAGTGGTCGTCCCAGAAACCAACACACGACCACCATCTCTAATTCCCCACATCTCCTGCTCCCCTGTCTGCGGCTCCCCTGTCTGCTGCTCCCCAATCTGCTGCTCCCCTGTCTGCTGCTCCCCAATCTGCTGCTCCCCTGTCTGCTGCTCCCCTGTCTCCTGCCCCCCACTCTGCTGTACTCCATCCATACTGCTCTCGTCCTGCAGCTGCTCAGTCTCAAGGCGCTGCCCGTCGGTGATCTCCACAGACGGTGGCACCTCCATCCCCCCCTCACCAACGGGCGGCGCCGTGGAAGACGAAGAAGAGGGCGGAGCAGGTGCAGGAGGGATGGAGGGTGGAAGGGGAGATGGAATAACAGGAGGAGGAGGGGAAGCCAAGGGGGGTGAGGAGGAAAAAGGCGGGGCAGGGGGAATCACACGAGGGTAGACTGTAGGCGGAGGTGGGGTGGGGACCGAGGTAGGGACATAGGGCATAGCAGGAGGTGCGACCACCTCCTCCTCCTCCTCCGCCTCCTCGAGAGTGATCGGGAAGAGTGAGGGAAGGGGCTCATAGGGCATCGAACGCCCCCCATGCTCCTGCTGATGCCAAGCCTTCCATCCTGCTAGGGACATGGTCTCATAGAACACAGCTTCCACAGTGGTGATGAGGCGGTTGGACTCCAAGTCCAGCACGGCCCAGCCCTTGCTCGCAGCTGACACACCCAAGTGCAACCCCCAGCGAGCCTTAGGCGCCAGCTTCCCCCCACGCTGCGACTGTGGTACCATGTACTGCAGCATGCAGCCCTAAACACGCACCATACTGACATCAGGTTTGCGTCGGAAGGCGAGCTCGTACGGCGTCACACCAGAGGGTAGTGAGGCGTGCTCCACGCGGTTGCGCACCCAGACGGCCTGAGCCAACGCCAGGTGCCACCAGTGATGCTGTACACCCATGTGCAGCAACATCGTCCGCACCGCCTCCACAATGCTGCGCATCTCCC